ATATATATAACAACTTTGTCAGATTTATGTCTTGTCTAAAATATATTGCAATGGTGATAAATAAAGTGGGAAAATGGTTTTATGCATGTGCAATCAACTATTTGATTTGTATTGTCTTGTTCGAGTTTCATAACTTGAGTTGCCAAATTCGATTCTATGCTTGCCACACTGACAAGCGGATGTCTGCGGACTGACACCGAAAACATCCTTGGGCCAAGGAAAATTTAACTTGTCGGTCCTCATCATCATCATCGTCATCATAAAAAGAGAAGCTCGAACTTTGACACAAAAGTTTGGTTGTTTTTTTTTTTTTTGCTCATTCGCCTTTCTCCAAAATAAAAATGAACAACAGGCTGAATTTTATTCGTGTTTCCTTCGGCCCCCGTCTTCTTTTGCATATTATTTAAATAATAAATGAGTTTTTGACAGTCGCAGTGAGAAAGTGAGCTGGCTTTTTCTTCAGTTGGGGGGTTATATTGGGCTCCTGTTATATTTTTTATTTTTTTATTTTTTGGGGAGTGTGAGGTGTTAGCTGACAAGTGAAGGAATTGCTCTTGTTACGTTCCGTTTCGTTTATTCGCTTCAGATACTCGCTCACAACACCATGTTGCCAGAAATAAATAAATCTCTTTAATGTCCCCGCCGACAAGTTCTGGCAATTCATCCGTTTTCCGGTTAGATCTGTCAAACGGAGTTAACTGTAAAATATGTCAGTTTATTTTATTGAGCTTTATTGGCCATAAAATATTTTTATTGTATTTTTTTATACTTATTTTTTATTATTTTTTTTGATACAGTGAGTAAAGTTTATTTTTTATCCTTTATGACAAGCAGTTTGTTTGCTTGTAAAACCCATTAAATTATTTAAAAATTGATTTATTTATAATAAAGAAACTCAATTTCCTTTCAGTTAAAAACTAGCTAACATTCCTGACTTAGAAAATAGTAACCTACCATCACTGCCGCCGAAGCTTCTGTTTTTCTTGATGTTTTAGTGGGCAACAGTTGCTGCTTTTGGCCGCCTCCTGCCCCCGAGAGTTTCCCTAACGCTTTTCCGGCTTGGCTTCACTACAACACATTTGCTTTTTGTTGTTGTTGGTTTTAGTGTTGACATTATTGTTGTAGTTAGTCCAGTGGTTGTTGCTTCTTTCGGTAGGTTGCTCCCTTGGTAGCTGAAACATCGCGGGTCTAGTGTAATTGGTTTAGCTAGCAGCTTAACTTTTATGCTATTTGCTGCTGCTCTCGAAGGTAATGAAATTTCATGGCATTTGACTCGCTTTTCCAGCTCTAGCCAGGATATATCCTGTCTATAGCCACATACACACGCACACTGTCTGGCATCCTTGGCGTATACGTAATGTTACTTTATTTATATAGTGACCAACGTTGGCGCACAGGCATATATCAACGTAATTACAGCACCTGAACCCGTATACTCAATTAATTGTTATTCCATTGAATTTCAATTTGAGGCAATTCCTCACTTGGTCAGTTGGGTCAATTAGTCAAAAGCCAACAGCCACGAAGAGCTGAAAGTTGAGAGTTTATACAAAAGTTCCTAGAGAAATGAAAGCAAAGGGGTTAAAATGCGGTTGATGGTGATGGGAGGGTCCTTTGAAATGTATATATAAATATATATATGGGGGAATTTAAGGGAAATCCTTTCAATTGGTTCACCCCAAGTTGCAACTGGTTTCAGTTTCAAAGAATTTAAGGGAATATTTACAGAAATCTCCCTTATAAAAAGCTAACTTAATAAAATTTTATATTATGAACTTAAGTTAGTCAAATAGCTTCATTAAATATAAAAGCGCTTTGAGGATTTAAAGAAGATTTTATGGTTTATAATGTAAATGAAATTTTATATGGATTCCCTATTTAAAATGCAATTTCTATTCCCTTTTCCATTTCTTCTCCCAGTGCAATTTCGACCAAATCACATTTCCCATTTTCTTTTTCCTCCCAATGGCCACAGTATATTTATTGAAAACTCATTTAGTAAGTTACCATGAAAGTTCCACGAAAACTTTCAATGCCGCACAAACACACGAGCGAAAAAATGTCATTCCGCATCCGCAAAAATGCAAATTGAATTATATCTAAGTCATTGAATGGGTTGACTCCCCTGTCAAAAAATGTTCTCAATGTTCAGGATGTGTGTTGCAACTGATTTGTTTGGCAACAGATATATATATATATACTTTATTTTTTTTTTTTTTTTTGGCCAGATACGAGTCGTGTAGGTTACGAATTTCATGACCTGCCAAAAATGCCAAGTTTTCTAAAGGCAAAAAAATCGGGGAAAAAAAGAAGGCAAAGGGCAAATAAACGATTTCCATCTGCCGCATTGGCCCTTTGATTTAATTCCAAGTTCTGTCGAGGACAAGTTCTGGGGGAGTAATGTTCAAAATTCAAATCCCAACCACGCCTCCTTTAGTCACTTGAGCGCACAATTAGCTGTCAGAGTTTGAATGCGAGTATATGGCCCGGCCTGGCTTGGATGGCTGAATGTGGCCCCGGCTCCTTATCCTTTTGTTCACCAAAACCAGCTCTTTGTTCCCTCCGAAAATTTGCAGCCGTAGCAGCGCACTTGTCCCTGACAATTCAATTTGGAGATGTTGATGCACCACTACCACCATTCTGGCTCCCAATGCAGGGTCCTGCAGCTGGCTGCTGAATATTGATCCCCCGGATAATCGCTAAGCAGCCAAACAACATTCCCAGGCAAAATATATATACATACAGTACTTGCAACACAGCAGGAGAGAGCAATGGAAATGATGGAAAATATATAAGCTCAATGCGATTTGGAGCTAAGAAGGAAATCTAGGGGAATCTTGAGACCCAATACTAAGCTGTTCCGCAAAGCATTGACAGCTGTGGAAATTATGGAGGCACTTTGTCCTTCGCAATGGAAAAAACATATAATAAAACAATTGGCACTTCCGCAACATTTCGCAAACGATTTGTTTTTGCTGTTCATTCAGTTTAAGCCCGGTCTGCTTTAATGCCAGCCATGGTCTTAAATACATTTATCCGGCTTGTAGACCAACTTTAGTGGAGCTCTTGGCCCCGGCCAACAAGTTAAAGAGGCCCTGGAGGGACATTTACCATTGGTCCTTTATGTGCGAAAGTACACGAGAAAAAATATAATCAAAATGGATGTTACTATTTAATATTTTATAGGCATTTTGTTAGCTGACATTAACGTTACTCGTTATAATCCGATTTGTTGGTATTCTCTATTATAATCTTGACCTTTGCGTAGATATAGCTTTTATTCAAGATATGTATAATGGACCCTTGCGAGATTCAAAGTAATCTGAGTTATATCTTCTCTCTTAATGATTCAAGGCAAATAAGCATATTTTTTCCAAGTGCTTAGCAGTTACAAAAATAAAGAGCCCACCATTTCTCTTAATGCCTGATGAGTGTTGAAAAACTGTGATTAAGATTAAGAAGAATGTTGTAGCAAACACGAAATCCCACTCATATGGAAACAAAGTATTTCAACATTGCTGGCGGGCATTTAATTCAAAGTTAGGTGATCTACTCAAACCGATAAAATGTCAACAAAAACAAAAGCCCAAGCTTACCTTCGTAAATGGTTAAAAACTTTCCTGTCTCTATCGTCATTGTTTAGTGTTGAATTCAATTTCATACATAAATTCCATATTTCCACACTTTGTCAAACTTTTTGGTTAAAGCTGCTCTTAAATTGGGATTTGCTCGTATTGCACATGTAGAGACCATTTCTCAGCGGCGACTCTCGGCAGGCAAGTTTCAAATTTGAAAGTTTTTCGCATAAATTTCAAGGAGCACCCGCTCGACATGCGGAAAACTGAAATGAAAAGCAGGGACACTAAAGTAAACAAGCTGACTGGCTGGCCGACAACAAAACAAAGTTGCAAGCTTAGAGGGCCCCTTAGCTGCCCCGGCCAGAGACCATAAAATAAACTTAAATTTGATGGGATTTAATGGTTAAGCATTTAAGATTTATGTTACCTCCAAATTTCGAGTTCAAACATAAATGATACAATGAATCGCAGTTCGGAGTTCGAAGTTCGCGTTATCCGGGACTTGCAACGGCGTGTGCTGCGATTACTGCAACAATTTCGTAATCAGCGGTGGCCCCAAATGGAAAACTCACCATAGAGACCCCAGTTTTTCTTGCCCAAAATAAACGAGAGAGCACAAGAGAAAGAGAGAGAGAGAGAGAGTAAGGTTAGTCCTTCCGCTCAGTTAAAATTTTTTTGCGTGGGCGATGAAATGTTGGTAGCAACATGTTGCCAGCCGTCCTGCTGTTGCTTCAGCATCATAAATATTCAACAAAGTTAAGTTGTCATAGCTAGTTGAAGACCGATTTTCCACACCCCCGAAACAGGTCGATAGCGGCGTGTGGGGTCATCACTAAAAGCCGAACGAATAAAACTTCAATTCAATATATTTCCAGCCAAGTCATGAGCCAAGGGGCAGATGGCTACCGGGAATGGAAATTTCTATGGCTGATGGCCGTCATCTGCTATGCTCAAAAAGAAGGAACTGCACAGGGAGAAAAAGCTTTATAACAAAAATTATATTAAAATTTATACATTTTTATATATGCCAGTAAGTACGTATTTCCTTAATCCAGATAACTCCCTTTTTTAGTCTTAGTTAAAATAGATGAAAACTTCTAACAGTGTATAAAAGAGTGGGGTCCCGAAGGAGTGAGACATTTCGTACAAAGGTGAGTAATGACCCTTGAAGCTGGATTTTCCATGTCCATGGATGTGTGTGTTTGTGCGAGCACCAATTTGGCAGTCACTCCCACTTTCTTGGGACTCCTCTTGGCAATTGGGATAGGGCGTTCCCGAAGGTTATTGTAATTTTGTTTCGTGAGAAGCTTTGGCAGGTGGTCGATTGTTCGATTGATTTATACCCAGCTGCGTAATTATGTATGCCTTCGACGAGGGAGTCATAAGCCACTGGAACGATCCAGGTTAACTGGTTGTCTAAATTCACATCTTTTCCCATATGGAGGGATAGTATCAAGCTTACTCTTGTTGCCTAATAACTACTATATAAAAAATATATCTGGATATCTAAATTTTTCCAAATTAAAGGCCGTGGTTTTAACGACCTTTTGAGTCACAGAATGTCCGCCATAGGAATAAATGGCTTTGGACGTATCGGTCGGATGTTCGCTCGGCAAGCCCTGGTGCGCAAGGATGTTAAGATCGTGGCCATCAACGATCCCTCACTGGATCCCAAGTACCTGGCCTATATGTTTCGCTTCGACTCCACTCACGGCCAGTTCAATCACAAGATCTCCGTGGAGGGGAACACCCTAATCGTAAATGGCAAGAAAATTAAGTTGCTCAAGGAATCGGATCTCAAGAAGGTGAATTGGTGTGAGCTGGGCGTGAACACAGTGGTGGAATGCTCCGGTAGGTTTACCACCTTGAAAGCTTGCCAGGCTCATTTGGATAGTGGGGCTAAGAAGGTGGTCATTTCGGCTCCATCAGCCGATGCTCCCATGTTTGTCTGTGGAGTTAATCTGCATGCATACAAACCGGGTATGAAGGTAATCTCGAATGCTTCGTGCACCACCAACTGCCTTGCGCCGCTGGCCAAGGTAGTCCACGATAATTTTCAGATATGCGAAGGGCTGATGACCACTGTACACGCGGCTACTGCTACCCAGAAGATCATCGATGGACCCAGCGGTAAGATGTGGCGGGATGGACGCAGTGGCATGACCAACATCATTCCAGCTGCCACTGGAGCCGCCAAAGCAGTGGGTAAAGTGATCCCAGATCTTAATGGAAAGCTCACTGGAATGGCTTTCCGAGTGCCAGTGCCCAATGTTTCGGTTGTGGACCTAACATGTCGCCTCGTTAAGCCTGCCAAGATGGACGATATTAAGAAGTGCATTAAGGCAGCAGCCGAAGGAGATATGAAGGGCATTCTCGGTTATGTGGAGGATGAGGTGGTGTCCACAGACTTTAATGGCTCACGATTTGCCTCTGTCTTCGACGCGAAAGCCTGTATTGCCCTTAATGATAACTTCGTTAAGCTTATTAGTTGGTATGATAACGAGACGGGTTACTCCTGTCGACTCCTGGACTTGGTTCTCTATGCCGAATTGGCTGACAAGTGCGCTGAGAAGGAAAAGGACTCTTGCAAGGAGAAGGAAGATCCTTGTAAGAAGAAGAAGGATCCTTGTAAGGAAAAGTAAATCAAGGCATTAAATATTTTAATCTTGGACAGAAATTCTTTGTTTATTTGGAAACTATGAATCACTTTTGCCAGATTAGTAAGACGTATGTTCTTGTTGGGTTCCACATCTTTATCGTTTTTTTCATACAAATCTGTGGGTAGCATGAAATCTTCATATAGCATATCGATTTTCAGAGGCTGCCCCCTGGGGAAAGCCAAAAGTTTTAAATGGCTGACTACGTCACCGAATCTTAATAACAACTGACCCAGTTCTGGGCAATTTTTTGGAAGTTATATCAGACATTGCTAGAGTTCCTTTGAAATTGCATGGACGAAATGCTTTTGATTTCGTTGTCTTCCATAATGCCTGCATCGCTACTCTGGTGATGATCGGCCTCCACTATGATGTCGTCCAGGGTAGGCGTCTTTATTCTATTGCGTATAATGAGATCCCTGTCGGATGGCGCCTGTAGATGAAGCGGATTGGTGGCTAGTTCAGCATCTCCATCGCCACCTCCACCACCACCACCCTGTAGACCTAGCGTCAAATTCACCTTGGCATGCTGTCCAGTCGTAAGTTCACTGCTGGTTTGCACATTTTCCAAGGTAGTTGGAGGTCGGAGGCGAGCGGGATCCAGCAGAGAATGCATTTTAGTTTGCTTTCGGGGTGTTCGAGCTGGGGAAGCCTTCCGAGAATTATAGTTCTTTAGCTGTTTTGATCTGAAAGAAAAAAATATATAGTTAGTTATTGTAGAACAGTTTACGTATCACTATACTCACGCTTCCAGAAGTTTTAGCAGCAAATGGTGATAGGCCTCGTACTCATCCTTCCCGAACTCATTGGGATCATGCCTAGCGTGCTCGTACATATCGCAGTACTGATGTATCATTCGCTGTCCAGCTCCGTTCAACGTGACTGATAAAGTGGTCAGCAGGAAGGCCCTCAGACTTTCAGGGGCATGACGTGAGCTGCCATCCGCTCGGGCAATCTCCGATTCCAGTAGCTTCACATCGTCCACCGCCTTCATGCGGTAGTAGTAAGGCGGCAGCGGTGCTTCCTGCTCTGGCTGAACGATGTACTTTTCGCCATCGTTCCAAAGCAGTTTTGGTTCTTGAGTAATTTTCTGAATACAGTCTAGCCGTCGCTCAATCTCCCTCCGCAACGCCTTCTTAGCATCGTTGCCCACTGGGACATGGGGCCCACGGCGTCCACGCAGCTGGAAACGCATAATCTGCCGCTTGGCGAAGATAAACAACATCAGGCAGGTGAGTACTCCGCCACTAATTATTATAATTATCATCACTCCCGAAAGCTGTTCCATGTTACCGCCTGCCTTGCTGGACTTCTCCTGGAGACTAGGTGCGGCATAGTCGCCCACCTTGTGCAGGCGCAGATGGCCATCCATCGGAATCTCTGGTATCTCCGAGGTTTTTAAATTATAAACAATTTTTCTCTAAAATTGTCTTTGTTTTGATCTACCACCCAAAACAGCTGATTTCCAATGTGGCCGACTATATTTTCAAAAATACTATAAACAGATAATATACTGTAAAATACCATTGCGATTTTCAAAGTTTGCGCCGAACTGACCTTTTGACAACTAAGAAAACATTTCCATTACTAATTGCTTTTATTTGGTTTGTTTTTAAAAATCAGCCAAAGCTATGAACAATTTTTAATTTTTCAATTTGTTGACGGAAACTTAAATGGAAATCCAATACTTTTGAGCGCCTCAACAATTATTAATTCAATTTAGAGAACTTGGACGATTATTTACAGACTAAAAAAGCTATCCCTGCGGATGAACAGTCTCTTTGGCAACCAGCGGGCCCTCCAGTTTCCTCTTCGCCTTCGACATTGCTTAAGTAGCTTACGTCCAGGGGTAATTATTGCTAAAAAGTACCGTCCCCACCAAACTGTAGCTAGTACACCATATGAAGAGAGCTCCCGCCTTGGAACGCAACTTTAGTTGTGCCAGTGTCTTGGGCATGTGGTCAGCAGCAAACCAGTAGAACACAGGTGTGGCTGAGGCCAGTAGTCGTGTAGATACCTGGATGTGTACAAAAATCGTGCAGACGATGGTAAGAAACGCAGCGTGCATTACGAAGGGGAATGTGATGTTCTCCTTAACCAGCTCCCTAAAGCCAGACGACGTGACCTTAGTCCAGACCCCCTTGATGAAATCATGCAAGTAACTGTAGCAGTGCCAGTGCATGAAACTCAGCATGGGTAGGGCCAGTACAAAGTTGGGCAGCTGTTTCCACTTGTAGTATCGTAGGAAACCCACATTCCAGTAGTGAGATTGCACATACGTGTATGGAAATGGCAAGGTGTACTGGCACCAGGGAGATCCTTTAGAACCCTGTCCAGACAATAGGTACTTCCTCTCCTCTGCGTAGTCCACGATGTGTTGGGGGTGGTGTTCCTCTATGGAAGGCATGCAGTACAGCCTGTAAATGTAGAAATAGTACGTGTGTAGAATCCCAATGGCTCCCAGAATGGTTAGGATCATCTGTATCAGTTGCCAGAATGTGCTTTGTTCCTTGTTTTTGACCAGCAGATGCCGCACGAAGAAGTACAACGGGAATCCCAAGGTGATCAATCCATTTGAACGACACACCACACAGGCGGCTAAAGCGGCTCCCACACGCAAATACCGGAAACTATCTGCCGGCTTTAAGCACTCCAGCATCAAGTAGAAACTGGCGTAAGCGAAAAAGGACTCCGAGTAGGCAGCCGAGAAGAAAATGGTCGCCGGATTGAAGCAGTATATAAGCGCTGCATTCCAACTCTTGTTAAGATCGTTAAACATTCGGTGGGTGAGCTGGAACAGTAGATTAGCCGACTCGCAGAAGATCCAGAGGTTTAGACCGACAGCCACCAGCAACAGGAGTGATTCCTGGGATAAGGAAAGTCCGAGATGCTCCAACGCCTGCGACACGTGACGTACAACAACCGGATACAGAGGGTAAAATGCCAAGGTATTCTCATAGGAGTACAGGTTACCGGCAATGTGCAGAAAGTACTCCCCATCCCAGTGTCTCAATCCGCCAAAGCAACGCATTACCAGCTTGTCAATCCACCCACAGCAACCCTTTGACTCGTGCGAGACCGGCATCCGGAATACATCCGGCGTGTGATCCGGTAGAGCTCCATTGGCCACAAGTTGGACCAAAAGCACGATGATGCGGCTGGCTAGCGCTAGCTTGGTTACCTTCTGTGTCATTTTAGGCTTTGGGTGGAGTCATTTATCATTCGGCGGGCATGTGATTCATGTTAAATCGCGCGCTTACCTCACGGCTATAGCAATGGAGACTGAACTCTGGTTCTGGTTACTCCAGCGGTGGGAAAAAGGTGATACAAGTTTCCAGGTGCTGTTTAAGCCACCTCCGCTTTCGGTGACATTTGCTTCGTTGAGCCGGTGTTATTTTATATTATTTTCGGGCAGGAGCCCGGAAAATCAGAGCATGGTGTGACCAGAGATTTTATAATAGCGGAGATCCAAATTCGATATATCATCAATACATAAGACTCTAAAAAATATACAAAATGTTTATTAAAAATTAAAACATCTGGCTTGTCTATCGAATAAAATAAATTTGTATAAACAAATCTATTAATTTTATATAACTGCGTTTTATAAAATGTAATTAATATAAATACGACAAAAATCGATACTTACAATCGGCTCAGAATCGGCTGTTGTTCCAGCACTAATCGATATGGCACATTCTAGTGGCGGCATTTCGTGTAAACATTTGCTTGCGTTTTTGTTTTACAGTTCGGTAGAGCCTTCTATGGAATTTCATCTATAAATGAATCGACGAAATGCCGAATACCTCAAGGAAGTCGGATTCCACACTGAGCAATAGCTCGTCTCCACGAAGAACGCGAAAGCGCCGTCGCGTTGACCGCAAGAGCCCAAACTCGCAGTTGGACGAGGATGCGAAAGAGATAGATCGCCGGTTGCGGAAAGTGGCCAAAGAAAACTCCATCAGCACTGAAGACATGCAAAAGGTGGTCCGGAAAGTGGTACGCAACGATCATGTCCTGGCATTGGTTACCCTAAAGGCGGAGGATGAGCTGGCGCGTGAAAGGCTTGAGTCTGTGGAACAGCAGAAACGGAGTGCCATAATCATTACGGACACTCCATCTGTGCCCAAACTCACCAGAGCCAAAGCACGGGAGCTAAACTGCACTCCTGGCATTTCGCTACCCCAGCTCAACGAAACTCTCACAGACAATAACAACATAGAAGCTTTAATAAGGGCAGACTTTCACTCCGATGAGGAGGACGAGGAGTACACCTTTAAGGAAGAGGATTTTCAAGTAAATATAATATGGCCTACTTTGCAGATGCTAATACTAGTTTATCCCCTAGTCTGATGATGATCCCAGCAACGCAGCGTCGGATTTTGACTCCAGTCCCTGCACTCCTCAAACTCCGCTTACGGCGAATGAAGAATCTCCTGTAAAATTCTCTGAAGACGGCTGCTTCAAGGTGCCATTCGAAAAGAACTCCCTTGACATAGAGGACTTGCGTATTGCGACACGAACCCGCTCCAAATTCTGTCTGCAACAGACTACCATCGAAGATTTGCAATCGGAATTTGTACCGCCTGATGTCGAACCTAGTGATGTGGTGGAGAACGATATGACCGCTACCGATGCGGACTGGATGCAGTTTCTCAATGACTTCACAAAGCCACTAAGTGGGTAGTTCGGTTTGAGTTTACATAAAAGCTCTTAACTGTATTTTATTATAGACAACACAATTCTGGGAGACGATGATGACCCTATTAATGATCCAGAATATGTAGCCGCGGATCACTTGGAATCGGAATATGAGAATGCCGAGGAGCGGCGTGATGTCAACATATCGAAAAAGGAGTTAACTGACCTTGTTTCTGAACTATTTGCTGGCTTGCTGCAGGAGGGAGTATCTCTGGAATCTATTGAATTGGAAACTCCTCAGAAATTTATTGAAAGTGCCCATGTATCTATGGCTCCCATTGATCAAGTTACCCGAAATATCGATTTCGATGATCAGGCCGTGCTAAACGCCAATCAACAAGATCTGCAGGTTTATCAACCAAGCGCAATACCCACTCCGTGTGAGGGGAACAATATGGGCGTGGTGATGCCCGTCCCCGTTGCTGTGGTGCAGGAAAATGGTACCGGAGGATCACCCTGCAAGGTGGTTAACATTCAGTCCGATGCTTTGAGTGTTCCTCCCGAACTTATAGCTGTTCCTATACCTGGACAACCAAACTGCTTCCAACTGGCTAAAGTTGTAGCCAATAATTCAACTTTGATTAATGAATCCTTCCAGAATGTGTCTAATGTAGAGCCACTTCAAGCTCCCGGGGCGCCGAAAAACAATGCAGATCGCTACAAAAAACCGTTTGATACAAACTTCACCTGGGAATATATATCGGTAAAGAAACATATTTACTCGGAGTATGAGGACCAATTCGAAAACCTGCGAAACGTGAAGCCAGTTTACAACAGTCACCTTGCTAGGAGCAAGGGATTCACCCAATCCCAACATGACATGCTTCAGCAGCAGCTTCGCATTCATACACAGTTGCTTAGTCAAAGTTATCTACAAACCTACTCTCATCCCACGTTGTATCCCATGGCCAAGAAACCCAGGGAAATGCTGGAAGAACTTCACAAAAAGGCAACCAAAGATGCCAGCTTTAATTGCTGGAATCTAAATGAGGCTGTCCAGCTGGTCAGACAGTGGGAGCACGATCTGTGCAGTGATAAGTTTAAGGAGGAGAACGAGAAGATGATGGAGTTTATCAACAAAGAAACGGATTTGACGTAGGTTAGAAGTAATTAAGATATTGACGCTTTTTAACTTAGTGTTCTGTTTTATAGTGATGGCCACACGCGGCAGGTTCCTAGGCTAGCGCCTCGTATTATGGATCTGATGCTTGATAGTCGCGTGTTTATGTATCCACAGTACCTTCCTCGCATGGCTTTTCAACCAAAACTAACACAAGTCACTGCTTATGCGCCATCCGAGTATCAGCTAATAGCCATTGGTCTGGAAAAGCATATGACGGAAATTCAGACTGCCAAAAGACCTCTACGCAAAGGTGCAGATCCTATTCGTGTTGCGTGTAAGCGAATGGCCAAGGACACGATTTATGGCAAGACGGCACGTCGGATTTTCATGAAGATCGCTGAGCTTCGCGACTCGGAGCAGTACAATCCAGTGAAGTACTTCCTTGACCGTGAGCGAGCACCGCCCCCAAACCATATTCTTTGGGGCTTCGAGGGTGGAGTAGTGAGAACTCCCCGAGAACGCCACTACGAGCTTCCCAGTGGATGGCAATACTACATTGAGGTAAGGTATACAACATATTACCGTTTACATCGTTTAACATTTTAATAAGCATTGAAAAAGGGGGAAATCTCATGGGGAAAATGCAAAGGTATTGGGGAAACTAGCTTAGTTGGTGGCCCACCCGATCTCTAGGTATAAGGCGCAGCTCGGATCCGTGCTTCAGGAAAACATTTCCTGCAGTCTGTTGTGGACTGATACCAATTCCATCGTCCGTGATGATGGCACTCGTCTCCGCTGGAACCTTAAACTCCTCCGAAGCAAATTTTAGAACTGCCGTGAAGGGTGTTCCTTCTGGAACACTGAGCACCTTAAAGGGCAGCTTAGGATCCGAAGTTAGCGTGATTTTGAAGGTTACTTTGCTCATATTGGAATGTGCAGACGTGGTCAGTTTTGATTTCCTACTGGTTTTAACCGGCTTCCGTTGTTTTTAACGGTGAAATGTTTCAGACCTAGTGGGAATAGTTTGCAAGTTACAATTTTATTAAGTATTGGTAAAATGTTTTGTGTTAATTTATTTAAAAACAAAAAATATGTTGTCGCTCTTACTTTTAGTGCAGTTAAAATTCCGATAGGTAGGCAGCAAGTTATCGTCAGTGATGATTACCATTTAGATAAATGTACCTAAGTTGGTGCCTAGTTGGTTTATTAAATAGTGTTATATATTTAGTTTATTAAAATCCAAATATAATTTATTACATTAGATATTGTTTTGTATTAGCCCATAAATTGTTTCCAAACCTGATCGTAGTTATCGGTGGATTGGTACCAACCTGTGAGTTATCGATACCATCGTTCAGAGCTTGTGTCATCTCTGTGTGTTTATATTGCGGAAAATTTTCAATTGCAACATTTTGCAGAAAACTTGGGAACAAAAACGCACCCGCCGAAACTTTAAAGCCCTAAAAGCGTCATCTGAAGCCAGTGTTTCGTATTTGGAGTTTGTACGCGAAGCGATCGGAGAGGATTTGCTGCTGCCGGAGAGTTTTGGTCAGGCTGCAGTCCCTGATGGCAGTGCTGCTGGTTCGGAACCGCCCAAGGATTGCAATTTAAGAAAAAAGCAACCTCAGAGGAAGCCCCGTGTAGCAGAACAGCCTTCACTGCTTACCATAAATGTAAATTATGTTTTTGGTGGCGACCCCTGCGCGGGAAACTTACCCGGAGTCTCTGGAGTATCGGTGCCCCTTTTGTCTGGTGGAAATCTAGCTGACAATGTGCTTAACATCAACCGAAGTCTGAACACCGCCGCCGATTGCAGTGGTCTCCTGGCCCTGCCGCATGCTCCTCCTCCCCTGGCCGAAGATGCCCCGCCAGCCATCAACTTCAAAGTAGATGAGTTTACGCACAGCCTGCAAATCTGCGAATTAGAAGACTACAACGAGACCGTACAGCAGGATCTGTTGCCTGCTCAGGATAGCAGCTCTTCATTCGCAGGCAGAAGCGCTAAACGGGCGCGTTACCAAATTTTTAAGCCCAAGGTTCAATCCACCAATAAATCGCGAAAGGGATCAACGCCAGCCCGCAGCCGCTACCACAAATTGCGCGAACGTTTACGCCATAAACTAAGCAAGCGCTGCCATTCGCTAATTACAACCTACGAATCCTACCTGCGTAGGCGCAGGGAGAAATATATAGCCTGCGAGGTGGTACAGCTCGTCCACAATCGTTTCGTGGCCCTTGATTTGTACACTCAACTTCTAGTCGACCTGAAGATGTTCTGTACCACCAATACCGCTAAACCAGCAACGGCAACACAGCCAAAGAGATCCAAGAGTGATGACGAGGCGGCGAAGCTCAGGAAAGCCAATCGGCAGGAGGAGATGCTGCGCCACATGCTTCAGCCTGATTCCCCAGAAGAGCGCAATCGCAAAGATGCCAGTGAGTTTTACCTGGACTTCCAGTCTATTAAACACCTTTTTATAAAATATATTTTTTATTACATGTACAGTCTTCGCGCTAAATTTCTATGAGAAAGTTGAGGAGGCCTTGTTAAATGCAGATCGTCTTGATGATTGCAGAAAATTCAATAGTCTTCTGCAGAACTTTGATCCCAGGCAGGAGAAGGTATCATCTCTTTATCTGGTAAGGTCTATATAAATGGCTTATCGTGAGATTATTAAAAAATATTTTCTTTATCATCTAGAAAGTGGAAGAAATTTTGCTGCCGAACCATCCCGAGCTGGCTGAAGTATTCCTTAACTTTCTGCTACCTGCTGAGGCCGCTGAAATCGGCAAATTCTTTGAGCACTTTATGATAAGCAATGCTACAAACTTCATCAATAAACTCAACATTTACTTTTGCAAGCAGCCCGCGCAGATCAGAAAGATTTATGCATGTCTCAGCGAATTGGCTGAATTGCCTAATGTCAGCATGAAAAAGGTTGAGAATAAGATAATGCCCTTGCTCAAGGGAAACCAGTTTCTGGTCGACTGGTTTGTCCAGCAATTTCCCCAGGGAAAGCCCCCTAAGAGGTAAAAAAAAGGAGAAGAAAGTAGGTGACATTATTTTATTACAACATTTTTATTTCTTATAGAATCCTGTCTCCTGTGGAGACCATAAATCTGCATGATGTGCAGAACAATACTACGGGGGAATACACAGAAACGGTTCAAGAGTTCATGGATGTACCTACGCCAAGTAAACCTGGTTGTCACCTAAAGTATATTAATGGTCGGATATTTTATGGGGCCAAGATCCTTTTGCCTGCCAAACTTTCCTTTATGGCTGCTAGTATTTACAATGAACAATCTCACGATGGGCCACCGGCTTCAAGTGAATCTCTAACCTGTGCCCATGGAATTCGAGCACAGGGCGAGAAGCTTCTTAGTATGGCTGCCAACGCAGATAGCGACGATGCTGCGGATCGGAGTGAGGAGGATGATGCCAGTCGGGCTTTGGTTATTGATACAACAGGCGATGAGCAGAACAGCTGCTCATCTATCGAGATGTGCGATGAGGCAGGGTTAAGAGCGCACGCCATTCGATTGAATGCTAGCTTATACAGCAATTCTAGTTTTAGTAACGCAGCCACCAGTACGCCCAATATGGGCAACTCTCATGCCCATCATCACCCGCACGCTAAGAAGACTGCTATTAACTTTGGTGAAACTTCCCCACGAAAGCAATCGGCATTTAACAACTCAGGATTAAGTCCCTTATCTACCAATTCTCCTCATGTTGACAAACGGAAGTCACCCACCAAGAAAATCAGATCCCCTCTTAATCAATCTCAGGGCAGACAGCGTGCCAATAATCAACCAATGGTAGTGATCCATGAGTCTCAGCCTTCATCCTCCCCAGCTATAGAGTGCGCGAAGCGTTTGCGCACGTTGATTGATCAAGAAAGTGTTCGAGATGCGGCAGACACAAAGGCAGGCATACGGATTATTGCACAGGCCAAGCAGCAGTCACAAACACCACCAATCCTCTGCAGTTCTGCAGATGTAACGAAAGTTGAGGTGAATACCCTTGAGGATAATGTCGAGAATATGCCGGTTTATACGTCCCTTAAAATGGACTTGGATCAATCGGAGGAAGAGCTGGAGCCACTACAAGTGAGTGCCGGCAATACACCGCAGCATGTGATCACAACGCAATTCGATAGCGACGAGGACTGCAAGTTAGATGTTGTTGCCACGTTAGCCAACTGCACACCCAGCGAAGACCGAACACCTGCAGCCTCGACATCAACTGCGAGTACATCGCATTCCGAGTCTAGTAGTTCCCTCTCTGCTCCCTGGACTAGGGAAGAGGATAAAGTAATCCTCATTGAAATGAAAATGGGGGCTCGCGATAGAGAGCAGCTAATCCGACGTATTGGCGCCAAGCTGAAGCATCGTAGCATAGGCGAACTACGAGGAAGGCATCAGTTCCTCATGGATTTTCTATCCAAACTGCAAGGAAAGTGACTTTCTTTTATAAAATGTGTATTATATTTCTAGTAGAAATAGGTTACATTTATAAACTGAAATGTACATAATATGTTTTACAAAGCATTATTTTCAGAATTTAGATATATACTTTAAGATGAAATTGACTATTATTAAGTTAAAACCCGTTTAAAATATTTAAGATTGGAATGAAAACCCTTTATATACTATATCCTGTGTTCGTATTTCAAGCTTTGTTGAACTTTCATTATATTATAATATAATATTGGTTATATAAAACATGTTTTTTTAATGATATCGAAGACTACATATGAATTTATTAAATGTTTAAAAAAAATTCAAACTGTATCAATTTATAAGATTTTTATCAAACTATCCTTTTTGACAAACTTCAGAAGTAGTAGTAGTCACTAAAGCGGAAAAACTTTGATTTTCTTCTCCGAGAGTAAAAAATAGTCTGCCATGCTTGACCCCGTAGAGCACACCTTGGACCAACCAGCTTTTGCCTCCTTCTTTTGCATATTGGGTGCTGTGTCGGCAATCGTCTTTTCAACATTGGGAGCTGCTTATGGAACCGCCAAGGCTTCCGTAGGAATTTCTTCGATGGCAATCAAGCATCCGCAGCTGCTTATGAAGGCGATTGTTCCGGTGGTCATGGCTGGCATTATAGCCATTTATGGACTAGTGATTGCGGTCCTGCTGGCCGGATCTCTTCATCATCATTTATCCGCTTACAAGGGTTTCTTGAATCTCAGTGCTGGACTGGCGGTGGGTGTCTCTGGGATGGCAGCTGGCATTGCTATTGGCGTTGTTGGGGAAGCTGGAGTTCGGGCATCTGCCCAGCAGCCGAAAGTCTTTGTGGCCATCATTCTAGTATTAATATTTGCCGAGGTGTTGGGTCTATATGGTCTCATAGTGGCTATTTACTTGTTTACCAAGTAATGTAATGACATTCAAAATGTTCTTGTTCTTTTACTTTTTGTTTGTTAATGAAAGTAAACTGGTTTTGGATAGAGCGCTCTATGGTGCATCATCATCAAAGTTCCCATTATTTACTCAACTGGTTGGGTCTGCTTTCGGAGTCTGTTAAATTTAATTTCAGATCAGTTATAGTTCAGAAACCACACAGTTAACATCTATCTGAAAATGCATCTCCAATACTTTTTCGGTTTCTACTTTATCTTTAGTATTTTACTATACCAAGTTCAAGCTCAGCAAAATGCAACAAGTAATCTAACTATAATCCAAGCGAATGTCACTAAAAAACGCATAATGGTACGGAAACTGCATACGGATGATAAACTGGGTACAGGAATGATGCACGTTGTGATACATAAGATTCAACCTGGACATCCCTACTATAAAGTTTTCGATGACAATGAGACGGCAGCTCGAGGTTTCACGAATAAAATATGGAGGCGTCTATTAAACCGCTATAGCACTATGCTTATATAATTTATTAATACTAATTACATTTAGGGAATAAGTGTACTTAAGTTATTATAATAAAGCTAGAACTAAATAAGGATTCCTCGTCGGGGGCAGAGTCTTTTGTGTGCAGGCAGCCGCTGGATCTGGTGTAGAAGACCTCCGAGTCATGGCAGCAATGAGGCTCTTCGTCATGTTCCGAATCCTTCATGGTAAATGTACCCACTGCTGTCTTGCAATGGGCATTGATCTTGCAACCGGAATCACTAGCCCAACTCTCACATCCGCAGGGTAGTGCCTCATCCACTGGAAAATGTTGCGGAGTTACACTACTGACCACCCGCTCCTCTGCTGTAGCCTGTTGCTGCCGTCGCGCCTGGCAACGTTTCCAAGTTCTTCGCAGTGCTCGGAAACAACACAATCCGAAGCACACATCAGAGGTTCCCCTAAGGCAGAGGAAAAACTCCGGCATAAACGAGGGATTGATCACCGCATAAACCACAATATTCAAGGATAATTGCAGGGCATTTAGGGTTATGCATATCACCTCCAGCTCTTCCATGAAGGAGTCATTCACCTTGTTGGGATCACCGCCAAATATGAGATTTAAGGAGCTCTTTCTCGAAGTCATATGGGCCGGAAGTTCACCGATTAAGTACAGTGTAATCACAATAACTATGCTAATGGTCAGTTTCATTTGGTGCTGCAACGAAACAGATATATTCTTATCAGAATGTTTCTACGTTTGCAAGGTGATAAGAAACAAATATTTATCCTAAAATATATATTTAGTCATCATTTTTAGTCCTCGAAATAAATGGAAGCACTTATAAATTCATTACCTGATATCTCTTGTTGGTGGTGCGGTTATTGGCAGTGGTATTGCTGGACTGACACCTTCGACTCTGCTTTGTCCATCGCCGAAAAGCTATAATAATGGCTCCGTTACCCACAAACAGAAATATTGCTGGCAAAAGTGCTAACAAGGCAAAGGTGAACCAGTTTTGCACTTTATAGAAACTGCAGAGATATAAAGAGGGTATATATATGGAAAAATAACAAACCCACTCCTCTCCAAACTCACTTTGAATAGTAGAACTCAGTCACGTGACATGTTCCCGAGTCATTCACATAGAAGACAAAGAAGTAAGGCATATTGACCACTATAGAAGTGCCTATTGCCACAGCGATCATGCAGCGAGCCACCTTTCGGCGACAAAAGCGAGGAGGACCATTGTTCCTTTTGAAACTCGACAGATAAGTGAATCGATCGAGGCTCAGACATGCCAGGAGAAGATTAGCTGCTCCTGTACTGATCCCAAAGAATGGTGTTTGCCATTGGTAGTCGTAGGCAATCCATGCTGGACTGCCGTAAAAATAACTCCTGGACAAGGCGGTCATCGTAATGAGCAGGCAAGAGATGCAGTCCATCCAGGAAAGAGCAGCCAAGTAACTAAATGCCGAAGGTGTCATCTTGGGTCTCATGAAGACCACAGCATTGATGAAATTTGTGCACAGTCCAAAGGCAGCCAAAGTGGGAACGGCTAGTCCATAGAGTATAAATATCACCAACGTAGGTTGTCTCCTCTGGAAAATGCACTCATCGCTGTGCTCCATCCCATTTGGTTGTCCAAATGGCCAGCCGGATTCTGGCCTGGTGAAATTCCCGGCGTACATGACAGATGGAACGAATCGATGACTGGCCATGTTATTCACTGACTGGCTGACTGACTGGGTGAAGAGGAGGATTTGGCAGCGACTGCTGGACACGTCTATCTAATTGTTGCAAATTCACGATAAGATTATCTAACGCTAACGGACGCATAAATGTTAATTTGTACGCAATCAATGATAACGCCGCCACGCAAACCCACCTCAACATCGACCCCTATATCTCAGCCGATCACCTTTCTCCCTTTATCGTCTATATCTCTATATAGCTACTATATAGTATATATATGGTTCGACATCATCGCATTCTCTTTTTTGTTGCATATTTTGCTGGGCTCTGTAAATTTATGATCATCGATGTTTGGATAAATAGTCGAATTCTGGATACCTACGTGGTTCTATCGGCCTATAGCTGGGATAAGTTATATTCCAGAGATAGATGAGAGAAAGTTGGAGTTGAAAGATAAAACTTCTTTTAAAGGATAATTGAACAACCCAGCCAGACAAGTAATTTAATAATTGCAAATCCTATTAAGGTTTAAAATGTTCAGTTACAAAACCCATTAATAGATCATTGGATTAAAACCCGAAATAAACATATTTTCAATTTTGGAGATTCAGATGTATTTAGTAGAATGTTTTTATTTACTTTTTCGGTACTCGTATTGTAGTTGTGTGTGTGTTTGTGTTAGGCCAAAAGCCGTTTGTTTGATTTATTTGAGTTTGTCTCTTTGTTTGGCTTGGCTCAATAAATTATAGATTACATTCAGCCAGGGACAGTGTGTACTCGTAAATGTAAGTATATAGCCGATGCATAAGGCTTCGACTGAGACTGTATTTTCAAAGGGGGATGAATTATTCAGACGTAAAAATAGTTTTCATTAGTTTAGTTTTTTATGGGGTTTCTATAAGAGAGAGAGAGAGTGTGTTGTTTTGGAAGTTTTGACTTTCTCTCGTGTGATGATATCGTATGGTATTATATCTGTTAAGTAATTCACATCGATATTTCATAGATATAAATATATTAATGTATATGTGTATATAACTATTTGTTTTTTGTACTAAGTTAATATGCAATTAAAATACATACGTATGAGATTTTGGTTTAAAAAATGACCTTGAAAATTATCAAAATTACATAAATATGTTTTATTTTTTTGTAAAAATGTCGACTCTAAATAAAACTGTATGCAGTTAAAGTTACAAGTCCTAACAATATGCACTTTTCAATATGTATATAGTTCGATAATAAAAATGTTGAATTTTTCTTCAAATTGATAAATATTTTCAATATTTGAACAGACTTGAAAAGTGTTTCTTTTTTTTTCGCTTCCTTCATTTATTTGCCATAAAAGTCATTAAAGTAATTCAGACACACACATATACATCTATAGATATATGTTAATTATGCATTACATTTATCTTTTTAAAAATACGAGCAAATTTCTTTATCCCTCGGGTTGAACGTTAAGTGCTAACTTCATCATCATCATGGTTGTGTATCGTACTCATCCGTTATCTCTTTGGAATCGAGTATGCAATATCTTTTGATCTACCTTGTTGGCTTAGTTTACTTTTTGATTTCAAATTGGAGAGTTAAATTAAACGTTTTAAATGCTTCAAGTTCGGAGTTACACAATTTTTTTATATATATATTTAAGTTTATAAGTATTTAATTTGTATTATGTATCGAATTTTACTAGTTCAAACTACTTTTAAGCTTTACCAATTTTCAATTATCATTTGAATTACTCTGTTGTGCCCTATGCAATTAGCTTGGCTACAAGTACCCCATCGACAGATATCCAAATATATATATATATATAATTTCCCTATAAATACGTATAGCCTCGTTTGGCATGAATTCTGTTAAGGTTTCTTCTATGAGAGAAAGATAGCTACGAGAGGCACAAAAGCTTAGCTCGGCTGGCGCTAATTTGGAAATCGGTCTAGGCTATATATACGTTGACTATATAGTTTTACATGCTTATAGTAGATTGTCTTTTCCCATAGTTAAACAGTAGTTTGTTAGCAGCTAGATTCCTGTTAAGGTACTAAAGTTTTCAACTCAAGATCAATCTAACATAGTGTTGTTATCTCTCGTTTAGGAGCAAATAGTTTTTATAGTTTTACAGTTTAGGTTTTAGTTTTTAGTTTTAGTTTTACAGCTTTAGTGTTAAGTATCGTCTAAGCTTAACTTATTGCTATGCAATTTGTTAGTTATGGTACATTGAGACTCTATGCCAGCCATATATATAGACGTGCTATATATACGTGTGTTTGCAATGCTTTTTTTTTTTTAAATAAAACGTAAAATTAATTTACACGCACATTGATACATTATTAATGGAATTTAAAAACACTTCTTCTATGATATTTCTGCTTAAGTATTGAATATTTTTGGGAACTTTAAATGTACCCTCAATGATTCTTCCCTCTTTGGCGAACTCACCTAAACGCGTTTTCGATTTGATCATAATGCCGGGGCTAGCACTACAATCGAATGACGTTTGAACCTGGCCCAAAAACAAACTCCTGAGTCTCTCTGACTTTCTTGCTCTAACGTGTTAAGTATAAGGACTTTCCCACGGTTTTTTTTTGACTATTAAAATCGATTAATTGGCTACAAAAAACACTCAGATGTTGGCTAAAAAGTTAACTTCCAAAATGGAGAATGCAAATGCTTAAAGCTTGCTGAAGTTGATATTAATATTTTGAAAACATTTCTTGGAAATCGGAAAGAATTGATCAAAGTTCTACGCAGAAAGATGATAGGCAACTATCAAGTATTTGAAATGTTGATTTTTATTGCTTTCCTTTTGTTTTTATTTTTTGTTTTTTTTTTGGCTTGAGATGAGGACGTGCTTTTGAACAGTATTCGAATTTTCCACAACTAAAGCTCTGTTTCACAGTTTCTAGCACTTAAAATTAACTCAAAACTTAACAATTCAATAAATATATATATAGATACAGACATATAATGGTAGAAAATCAAAACAGAAAACTTAACAAAGTGTAACAAGATGTCTTTTTAGTAATCAATATCAAACTATAGACTTAGGGGACACAACTCGCAGCATGGAAACTAGTTCAGATCAGTTCGGATCTATGGGCTAAAGACATATTCGGGATTCATGTAGGAGAAGCCAACGAATTCCGATTGATCCAGGTTCATCATGAACACCTTATCCGTGGGCGTCAAGTCTGTTTTCTCTGATGTGAACTGCTTGTCAAAGTTGGACACATCCTTCCGGTGTTTCTGTATAGTTTTAAGATTAAGATTAATATAAGCTTAAGGTCTTAGAGATTTCCCTTCTTACAATCTTCGGCTTGAAAGGTGGCTGCACTTCTCGATTTTCTATTTTCTCCCAATCGATGCGTCTGAAGAAGGGATGCAGACGGACATCCTCCTCGCCAGAGGAACCACAACCCAAACGCTTATTTGGCTGCTTGGTTAGGAACTGAAAAGTATTTTTAAATTAATTATATATACCCTAAATATTGGCTTAAAAACTTACGCCCTTGCAGGCCTCTTTGGCCTCCTTGCTCAGGCTTTTTGGATAGGACACATTATGATCAGTTATGGCGGCAAACAGCTCCTCCTCATCCTCGCCATCGAACGGAGGCTGACCCACTAGCATCTCATAAAGCAGGACTCCATAGGCCCACCAGTCCACCGATTTGCCATAGGGTTGATAAAGAATTATCTAAAGAGATTATCATATATAATTTGATTATCAAATCTTTAATTTCATGAAAACCCACCTCAGGAGCTATATAGTCAGGTGTTCCGCAGAAAGTCTTGGTGGTCTTGTCACCCATTATATTCTCCTTGCACATGCCAAAGTCCGCAATCTTCACATGACCATCGGCATCCAAGAGAACATTATCCAACTTCAGATCCCGATACAGTATACCCTTGGTATGTAGGAAGAAAAGCCCAGCGGCTATTTCAGCGGCATAGAATCTATTGAAAAGGGAAAATAGTAACTACAAATTAAAACTGAAGTCTTTTCAAGGCTCTTACACAGCCACTGGCTCCTTGAACTTGCCAAACTGTTGGATTTGGAACATTAAATCCCCGCCGTTCACATACTCCATCACAAAGAACAAACGATCCTGAAAGGAAGGTTTTCTTGATTTTTGGATCTTGATCTTGCACTCTTGCCAATGCCAAACTCACCATTGTCTGGAAGCAGGAGTGTAGTTGGACCAGGAAAGGTGGCTTTTCACCCAGAGCCAGGACACGCTTCTCGATCATGGTGCACTCCACATCATCGTCCTGGATAATCACATCTTTTTTTAGTATCTTGATGGCATATAACTCCTCGCTACCCTTGCGCTCAGCTAGCAAAACCTAAGGGTGTGATTAAATTAGGGAAGGGGAGTTATAAGGAAATATATTAGAAAAATTCTTGAAGAGTATTTGTGGAAAAAGTTATATTAACTACCCACCTTGCCAAACGATCCCTTGCCCAGAACTTTGATGAAATTAAAGTCCGTAGCCCGGATCATATCCTTTTTGGACGACGTATGCGTATTCGTATCGCTGCGCATCACCATGGGCTTCTTTTGGGAAGGTTTCTGCTTGAGCTTTAGGAGATCCTGCTCATCATCCGCACATGGCACATTATAGTACTCGCCCTCGTCCTGGGTGAGCAGTTTGAACCAGCCATTGGTGGGGTTCTTGATGATTTCCGAGATGCCGAAGGACAGAGCGCCCATAAAGTCATTGCGTGAAGTGCGATCCCAGTCCCATACTTCGATCAGGATGCGTCGATCCTTGTCTTCGGGTTTTAGATCACTAGAAAAAGGAACGTTTTTTAATAAATATATACGAATTAGTTACTATAACTTACTAGCTGAGTGTTTCATTCCAGACAGGATTCAGGCAAGCCTTAATGGTTCTAGTCTTCTTCTTCGACTGATCCTTGTCATCTGGTATTAGCTTGACCTTGACATATGGATCGCTTAGTCCATTGGGATCCATTGGTATGAGATTGCGACCCTCCTTGACTGAAAATCAGGACAATAGAATGTGGATAGTGCAAACATCTGTGGCATAAGCAGTCAATTAGGACCCATCTTGGTTGAGTGAAAACTCCCAGACCACAAAGCAGTTACGGAAATTACGTGAAATATGCTCCTGGGCATGAACAAAGCATTGTGCCCTGGATGAGGACACCCCAGCTCGTTCCCCTCCACACCTTTGTTCTGCTACAACTGCATTCTAGTTTGGTATTCATTATGTGGCATTTGCGGCTAACGAAGGAGAACGAATACGGAGAATTTCCTTAAGCGCGCATAATGAATTAATGCAAATCGTAAGCAATTTTCCCAGGAGCCCAAAAGGACTTGCAACTTTCGGTCGAGAAGAAGGCTTTTCCCAAGAAACAGGAAAAGCGAAACGAAACGGAACGTAGAGCAGAGAACGAAGAAATATACAAAGGCGCAAAGACTGTGCAGAAGATGTAACATTTTAAGCGCGTTGCTTGGGAAACTTTGCGGCTTCCCGGGGCATAATTTCTTTGTTTCTTTTTTTTTTTCTTCTCCCCCCCGCCCAGTTGCCCTTATATTCTGTAAACTTTTCGCCCACTCTTGGCCCAAAGGCAAAAGCAAAGAAAAAAAAAGAAAGAAACTTAGAACGTTCGTCCATAATTGGTAACAATGCTTAAGCGGCTTAAATTTGTATTCCGCTGGCTTGAGGGCCACTTACTCTGGACAGTTAGCAGATTTTCCTTGACATTGATCTCCAGATAAATGCGACCCCGCCGCTCCGTGTGATCGCATCCGCAGAGACTTGGCACGTTCTCCTTGCAGCGGGCATGCACGTTCATGTCACATGCTGAGGGATGTTAAACGAAAATTATTTCACATTTTTTTTATATTTATAGTTTCAGATATTAGTTTAAAGGTCAAGAAGGTATAGGGTTTGCTAATAGAGTTTTTGGTTAGTGGGATTGATAGACATGAGTTTGGATGGTAAAGTGGAACATAGCACAAACACACAGACGCACACTCACACAGTACAGTCACACACACACACACACATACACACACAGCTAAGTGAGGTACAGCCTCACAGAGAGCAAATGTGTAGTACTTACCGTGTCCGTTGTTGAAAACTAATGTTTACCTGTGGGATATTCTGTCGATTAATCTGCCCTGCAGCTGCTCTCTGGCAAAACCAATCAGTAAATAAAACCCAACCCAATTTCCCACCCAACGGCCCAGCTTGTTTTTCCCCCATTTCACTGCCAGCGGAAATTGACAAACTGTTGCATCTCCATGCCGCTGCCAGCTACACTTCTGACTCTGACAAGTGGCAAGCGTTCAATTGGAAATTATTCGCTAAAATCGAATTGCTTTTCATTTTCATGAAATACGTTTTTTTTTTTTTTGCTTTTTTTTTGTTTTCAATTAAAACACTTTGCCATCATCAGCGGCCATCATAGGGCATCAATGGGCATCATCCTGTTTCTGTCGATTGCTTCAGTTTCCTCTCACATATCCGCTTTCCCAGACTTTTCCTTTCGGTTTCTTTTCTTTTTTTTTTTTGTTGCCCCGGCAAACATTCCGCTTTGGTGAAGTGTAAAATTACTTTTGCTTCTTACTGCCCGCCACCCTTGTCGGGGTCTTAATTTCATTCAAGCGAACGTTGCGTATACGTAATGTCCAGCTTGCCCTGCGTATGCGTGATATTTAAGTTACGTTTTGCGGGGCTGCCTTGTGGCATGTCGGTCAGCACAGAATGTGCAAAAATGTGTACACAAAGGCAAAACAAAAAAAAAGGGTTTCCTTTGGCGTGGTGTAAAAAAAACACTCACACACACACACGGGAAAAAACAAACACGCCGATATGAGTGTGTATTCATAATGTGGCCTCCATTTTGTGTGGTATCCTTGCAGTCATACATATGTATTTGTATTCCCATGACGTTTGCATATACTATTTTCGCATATATCAGGGGAATTTCTGCAGTTTTTGGGGATCAGTAAAAAGTTTTATTTGCTGAGCTAAAAATATTTTGCGGTTTTAAAAATTGGAAATGTTTTTTGGTTATATTAAGTTTATGACTTTATTCGGAAATTTGTTGGTTGTGTTCTATGTAACCTTTGCTTAAGCGATGAATAAAATAAAAAGCGGGCCTGAAGTGGATTTTGTCTACGTATGTTTTTCAGTGAAAAGTATTTGGGTAAGCAAAGTCCATCCTGGCAGCCTTTATTGTTCATTTATTAACATAAAAGAACTTATGAAACGTTTTAGACGAAAAGATTCAGAGTTGCTTGATATGGCAAAAATAACGAAGTTTGAAAACAAGTTTAACCGCAAGTAAGGTTTGCAGAGTAAATTTGATTTACATTTTTTAAATAAAAACTAACACTGCATCGTTTTAGTTCAATGCTCAGCTGACAATTTTATTAAGTAGTTAAAAATTAACAAAAAAAAAATCTGTTTACATTTCACCTTTTATTCCTCCCTTTTGTTTCTCCCAAAAAGCAGCACTTTTGTAGTTGACTACATCGGAATGATCTAGGATTGTCACATATTTCATCCAATGGCATGCAAAACTTAAAACTACATCCTAAAAATTGTCATTGAGTTTTGATTATGTTTAAAAATCTTAAGAAATTTACCAACTTGTGAATCTTTTTTGAGCAGAAAGAACACCAAGATAGGTGACTAGGATTATCATCACAGCTAATTTTAGATACTTGACCATCTGGAGTTTTAGAAGTGACTTCTTGTGATTGTACAAATTTATTGCTTTAAAAGGCTTGACAAAGTTAGTTTATAAAAATAATAGCTAAACGTAGTGTGACTAGATAATATTAATTCAAATTACATATCATTTTTAAAGAAATTGACATTTTAAAGCTTAAAAAAACTTTTAACAGTCTAGTTAACGTGAAAGTTTGTAGGAGCTAAGCGCTTCTGTTTTTAAGCCAAAATTTAACTTTTTTACGTTTTAGGAAATAATTTCATCAAAAAAACTTTTATTGTGCTTTTACATTGTGTTTTAATACGTTCTTTTTTCAAGTATATCCATTACATATTTATTCGGCTTTTTGCAAGGAACACATCTTGTCTGCCTAAACTTCCCAAACCATTTGTTGACGGTCCAGCACCGTCCCATTGGACCGCATACCGCTTAAATGGTTTAAATAATATATATAAAAAAAGTTAACTTGGTTTTTGATCACTCACGGTCATGATCTGGTGCTCTAACATAGCCTATAATGGCCAGCAAGGATATCAGAAGAAATGTATTTAAAAAAGAACCATCCCTATTCATGGTGATATATAAATTGTTTGTTTTTCATTTTCGTAAGAAGTTTTTATAATTTTAAGCATGACAAATGAAATTATTTTTATATAATTTATTTAGTTTCTTCTAACTTCCTTGCCCTTCCCTTAAGTAATACTAAAAATCAAGCTAAGCTGAAGTTCTGTCAAGAAGTTGGCCATCTATCTTAGACACCTCATATTATATGACAACCTTTAACTCTTCCAAGACAGTTAGGTAAAAGGTGGAATAAACAAATTATTAAAACTTAACTGCTTAGAATTATATTCTTAACTGTATGACAAAATAGGTTTGCAAAATTCCATATGGAAGAAGCGTAAAATATTTAAACTATTTCCATATAAAGCGACGCCATTTCTTGGGTCACAAGTTAGGAAAGTAAAATAATTTTTTAATCAAACATCTTCTACATTTTAAATCCACGTGTGATGTCTAAACTTAAGGATTATGGAAGCAATTTCAACCCTTCATCCATTTTCTCATATCAAAGCAGCACTTTTCCATCTGGACAGGTCCCGTTTGTCATTGGACACCGAATTGAGATCGGTTTACAAAAGCCATCATTTCCGCATGCTAAAACATGGTTAATAACTTAGCAGAGTGTACAGGAGCCCATTGAATGGTTGTACTAACGAGCTTGTCCATAGGTAGGATCAAGGACCAACGACAGAAGAGCAGCCACCACGAAGATCTTTAGGTAGCCAATCATCTTTGTTCGATACGTTGAAGAACATGACTAGATGAGTTATTAGGGGCTCTTTTATACTTTTTACATTTCCTTGTGTCAAATTGGCTAAAAGCATGGCTTCATGACTGTTTTAATGGATATTAATGCCATAATAACCTTTGATCTTCATCTACGCGTTTATAAACTAATTAATATTTGCTTCCTTATATTTTAAAATTTCCTTTTCCATTTCAAAATGTGTGCCTAGGTGCATCGGAGGTAAGGCTGTTGCTGTGCACATCAGCGCGTGTGCGCATCGAAAGATTTCCCGTGCCTGGGTACATTGGGCAAGGTTGGTGCTGAAGTGCAAGGTATGCGAAAAGGTTAGGTTTGCATTCGCATTCCTTGGTGCCAGGTTAGGTACACCTACCGCTCATGGGAGTACTCCTCTGTACGTAAGCGGCTTTCCGTACTGCTAACTGGGCACAACCTTAAGATTGTTCCCCGAAAATGTTTTGGGGCTTCTAGGATTTTTCCCCCGGGGTGAAATCTTGCCAATCCAACCAAAAAAATAAATAACTTGCTTTTGGCCTGCTGGCCGGGATACTCTCGAAGTCGGGACGACTCTCAGTTTTTCCACTACAACTCCCGGTTTAAGCTGTGGCGTATTTTTTATTTAAAACTTTCGTTATCGAATCGCAATACTTGCGAGATGCACGCGTACTTGAGCTAAAACTTTGAACTTGTTTGGGACTGGGAACTCGATCGAAAAGAAATAGAACGGAACCGGGAAATGTTGGCGTAGGCTACCAGCGAAAATGCAACGCAGCTGGCAATCGCCATTGTGGTAATTACACTTCCCAGAGTTACCAACATCTGTTACCAACACCTGTTACCAACATCTGTGGTATGAAACCACGCCAGCGCTCTTCTAATACAGCTGATTACTATCGCCACGGTCAGTTGACCTCTAACTGTATGACAAAATAACCATGCAAAATGCCATATGAAAGAAGCGTAAAATATTTAAACTATTTCCATATAAAGCGACGCCATTTCTTGGGTCACAAGTTAGAAAGCTTTAGCTACCAAAAGTTGAATTACTTTGGTAGGAAAGAAAATAATTTTTTTATTAATACATCTTCCAGATTTTAAATCCTTGTGTGATGTATAAACTTAAGGATTATGAAAGCAACTAAGCACTTCGTCCCTTGCGCCTATCTTGGCAGCACTTTTCTCCTTCTGGACAGGTTCCTGGTATCTGTCGACACGGATTGGAGATCTGGGCACAATAGCCATTATTTCCGCATGCTAAAATATAGTTAAAAATTTAGCAGAGTGTACAGCAGCCCATTGAATGGTTGTACTAACGAGCTTGTCCATAGGTAGGATCAAGGACCAACGACAGAAGAGCAGCCAGCAGGAAGATCTTTAGGTAGCCAATCATCTTTGTTTAATTCGCTGAAGAACATGACTAGCTGACTTATTAGGGGTTCTTTTATACCTATTGTCATGCAAATTACATTTCCTGGTTTCAAATTGGCTTAAAGCATGGCTTCATGGCGATTTTAATGGATATTAATGCTAGAATAACCTTTGATCTATGTCTACGTGTTGGTTGGTAGTTAAGCTCTAAGATATAAAACTTGGTCAATTTTTTCGATAAACCATATATAAACTTAAGTTTCCAATTATATAATAATAAATGTAGTAGTATGACAATTTTTAAGTACTTTTTAATTGAAATTTATTACTTATAGTTTTGATTTTATTGACATTAACTTGAAATTTTCCAGAAAATACAAATTTTCTACATGGGAAAATTTTGTACAATTTCTAACTTTTTTATTCCTGATTTTGGACTTTTGGACTTTCCATTTTCTGATTCTCCAATTTCTGATTTTCCAATTTTTGATTTTCAACTTTCTGATTTTCCGAAATTTGATTTTCCAATTTCTGATTCTCCAATTTTTGATTTTCCAACTTCTGTTTCTTCATTGTCTCATACTCAGCAGTGCGTTCGTAGTGCAGCCTTACTCGACAACATTTCTCGTTTCTCCTCTTACATTTATCATTAATTTTTGGGCACTCATTTGTAACCAAAACACACCTTCCTATTCCACATGCTGAAATATGGCTTAAGCTGTTAAATCATTATTACTTGAAATTGTAAAGCTTTTACTTCTTGTTAACACTGAGGAAAGCAGGAAGTCCATATTGAGAACCAGAAAAACTGCCACGAGCAAGATCTTGAAGTATTCAACCATTTTTGCTGACTAGTTAAAAAAGTTATCTCCTTAGTTTCAGAATACCACTACCATGCTAAATTCATTAGTTTAAGTCTTTACTTTATATTATGTTTAAAATTATTGTGTTTTATATATAATTTATATATACATAAGCTGACTTCAAGAATGACGAAGGGATTGCAAAGAGAACCAAAAAGAACTTGAAGTTTATTCCATTCATAGCTGCACCATAAGCAGCACTTTGTTCTTGGGCCATAACACTTGTTTGAAATTCGAGGACAAGGAAAGTTCTTAGGCCGACACCTCCCTGAGGTAGATAATATCATTGATGAGCAGATTATAGTAATAACAAGGATATGCTCCTCCTATTAAGCTGCCCAAGTTGGAATAGCTTCTAGCAGAAGCAAATATTCAAGAACAATTCCCAAAAAAAATGAAATGAATATATCAGTTATTCATAGGATCATGACAATAATGTCTGAATAAAGATTTTACTTCATAAATAAAATCATTTTAGCCCGAACCAACATTCCTCGAACAGCATTTCTCCTGGTCACGGCATTCAGTGGGAGGAGCTATGACCTTGCAACGGTTCCGAACTGGAGTACAAAACCCGAGTCCTTCACCGCATTCTGAAAAAATGTTAAATATTGTATTATGAATCCATTTACTGACTTAATAGACTTTGATCTCTCACTTCTATATGGCGGACCCACGATACAGTCAATACTAAGGAACAAAATAACTGCCAGCAGAAGAAACTTCAAATAGCAAACCATCTTTTTGTAAACTAACTACTAAGTCCACTGATTAGACTATCAATTTTCCAGAGGGTTTTATATGAGATGGCATGGAAAATTAATTTCTTGGATTAAGATTGACTAAAACGCATTGGATAAGGTTTAAGATTTGCATTACCTCAAGGGCAGGTGACCTTTTGTATGGCGCGTAATTCAATTATTTGTTTGCCCCAAAAAAAGGCAAACCGAACCCCTTTGCACATTTATATACCTTAATAGCCCACGCCGAAGGCAAACAGCTTGGAAACTGCTTCGCTAAATGGAACTGATAGAAGCTTAAATATGTACTCTATGAGTTTGTAAATATTTTCTAGGGCTTTTAAAATTAGTAAACATTTATTAAGTAGCCTCGACAAACTCGACATGCACTTGCAATAACGTGAAAATTAACAAGTTTTTCAAGAATGTCAACGAAAAACGAAAAGAAAAGCAAGTGCGGGCAGTTGGCAAGACAAAATGTAATGTTGGGGGTGAAAGGAAAAGCGGGAAAAACGCTGGCGGGAAACTTGTCGGCGACAGTGACAAAAGCAACAACAACAAACAGTTCGCCCAAGTGTGCAAAACACTCACACTCACACACGCAAACACACACACACACGCTGTGGCAAACACAAACACAAAGACAAGTGCACACTTGAGCGGGGAACAAAGCGCTGCTAATTGTAAATTGCAACAATCTAAAAACTCTGCGACAAACGCCGCCAAAAAATGCAAATGAGTTGGGACACTTTCGGGTGGTATATATATACTATACTGCTATATGCTATATACTATATATGCTATATAGGGGGAGACTTTAGTTAAGAGACTTTACCTCGACACTTGAGACCCTTGTGCGTGATGCCGTGCAAAAGAGACCCACAATGATCGCAGAACGTCGGCGACAGGAAGGTGACATTCTGCCATTTGTGTGGCATTTGATGAGCCTGACCGATTTTTTATTTCGGTTTCGAATACGAATTGGAAGAGAAAACTAATGGAAAATTAACGCAGGGCATAGGTTTAGGTGTTCATAAAAGCTACATAAAAATAAGTGCATTTGCAACTTAACACAAAGGATTACGGCAACAACATGAGCTGAAGGACACACTAAATGAGCAACAAAAAGCTGATACTAATAAAAATGATCTATAAGTTTCTACTATTCACATTGATTGTGGGATTTATGATGTTTGAGAGTGATGATTAGAATAAAGTTTTATGGAAGTTAAAATTATAAACAAATATTGTTTTTAGAGAATAAGAATAAGAAGTAAGATTCATACAGTTTAGTTGCCCAATTAAATCCCCTTTAAATTTCTAGAAAGCAAAACGGAAAACTTTCAGAGTCAAATTCAACAGCGTTTCCCCCTGAAAATTCACCCACTTTTGGGGGTTTTAATCCAGCTGCTTTCCACTGCTGCAGTTTGCTTTCGTGCTAATGAAATAAACGCGACGTTAATTGAGTTGCAAGTTGGCCGTCACATGTCACAAACAGCGAAATCAAATGAAAATGTGAGAGGGTTTATGGTGGCAGTGTGATGAGTGGCTATATACAACGACATATATATACACAGACATATATATATATATACATACATTATATGGGAGAACATAAGTAAGCAGCGAAGGTTGCAGAGAAAGACAATTGCTGCCTAATCCTTTTCAAGGAGCTCTTACCCTCTGTGGAAAAAAGAATGTCTTCCACACGTGACATTGGCTAAAAACTTTAAGGTTATTTCTCGTTTTTTGTTTTTTTACCCACACACAAGCGAGTCGATTGTTGTGTCAGTTTTGCGGTGGGTGGCGCCTGAAGGCAAGGACATTTGATAGCATTATGCGCCTGCATGAGCATCTTCACTGAGTAGTAGTTTCCCTCTATATACATACATATTGTACATACTTGTAAGGACCTCCGCTTATTTTTTGGGGGAGAGGCTTTGGCAATTTGTTGTTTGTCTCTGCCAAGGTTCAACAGCTGCTCAGCCATTAATATCCTTTTGCTACCAAAAGACAAACACCAACGAAAAGCAAACACACTCAGCCAAACGAACGGCCTTGGCAGCGGCGCAACGAAAAAAGTTGTTGCATACTTTGGCGGGCATGCTCAAGGCCGCGAGGGTGTATGTATGTGGGCGTCGATGGTGGTAGTAGTGGTGGATTTGTTTGGATAAAATGCAATCGCATTGAAGGTAAACACGTGTGTGGGTGTGTATGTGTGTGGCCTCCAATTGGAATCGCCTTTGAGGGACCCTTGGATAGCCACAGGTGTTGACACTCGAATCGAGACCCTTGACATTGTGGAATATTTTGGATATACAGTGTGGCTTCAGTAAAAGTAATATAGATTTTGTAGTTTCTTTTTGTATGTTTTATATACGAATAAATATATATTTAACTTTTTTCCTCAAATACATAACAAAAAAAGGATTTTTTCTGATCCCAATTACTTTCCAGAAAATAAATCTCCGACTTTGTAAACCAATTTAAATCCAATGTTTATATACTAAACCAATTTATTACGCCCCGCATAAAGATTCAAGCCATTGAAGCTCGACTGTATTAAATGGTGTGCTTTATTCTTATCATTACGTCACAGTACGAGTATCTGCCACATGAAAGCATCGTAAACAAACACCCCATCAGACATTTCCCAATAAATCTTTTTTGGCCCACGCACACACACACACACACACATACACTTAGATAGAATTTCATTTGGCTAACACGCCCCCCATTTGACGCCTACTTATTTGCCACGTGCCAGAGAGAGAAATTGTTGTGTAAAAAATATTTGCAGCGTAAATTTATCACAGCATTCCTTGCGTCGCTTGCTGTCACCTAACAAATTTGTGCCCCGCCATTGGGAAATCCTGGCGCTCCACTTTTCCATATCTCTCCCGCTATCATCATCATCATCAGCTAGCTGAATGGATGGCAGCCTCCATTACTCCATTGAATGTAATATTTTTTCGTGTATATATAGGAAATATATATATACTATAACTGCTGGCATATTAGCAACTGATGCCCGATAAGAAATTAGTGGGGTGGGCTGAATGTTGGCAAATATAAATTGCCATGTCATTTATTCCGACAACCCAGATAAGCAGAGTTGGTCATATGGGCTCTCAAAATGTGGTCATATCATATCCGTTGATGGATCCGACTTGCCATCTGATAGCATTTTCTAATGGCCCTAACTGCATTTGTTTTCAATTTCCGCTTCAAGTAGAAAATTACAATCAAATTTTTTTATTGTGGCAATCCCCATCGATTCAGTTCAGAGGTGTGAAGCTAAACTTTGGCAAAAATTGATTTGCCTACACCTGTCGCAATAAATTTGATCCGATTTGATGAGCAGATGGGTCGGCAGGGAGGTTGGCAATATAGAGCCAAAAGATATCGCACTGACAATGGTAACATTTAAGCTTATTGGGCCGAGATTGTATTTCTCAAACACACACACACCCATACACACTTTGCCAAAAGGAAAAGCCACTTGTCTGTGAGTGAGTTAAGCATTTTCCAGAGGCAAATATCATACGTACTAGGTTGCCATGGCCATGGCATCATCACACTTGATGGAACAGATGGATGTGACATTTGAGTTTTCAATTCGCAGAATGCTCTCTTATTGCCTCTGCATTTGGTGTTTACACTTGACTCGTTCTAATTAAGCCAGTTGCCATGGCTCTGAATTAATTGCCAGACCCACTGACAAGCCACATAGAAGAGGTTCTAAAGTAGTTAGTTGTAGTTCCTTGTAGAGTAAAGTAGTTCCTTGTTGCAGGTAACCCGAAAATGGTACTTAAGGAGCAAGTCAGATAAAGTGGCTTGAAAGGTAGTTAAAGGGGCAACACCTTACTCGACGAACTTTTGAATGGAAAACTATTTGAACTTTTTAATCAATAGATAGAAATGAAATTTACAAAATTACTATTTGTCTTTGGCTTGTTATTAGAGTTCGAAAAGTTTCTTTTTGAAATTTTATTAGTAGACTCACTTTTCGGTTTCTTTTCATTCTAATATCTCTCTGTTTTAGTTCCACTATAGTACAAGCTTCTAGCCTAAAAACCTTTAACTTGTCCCATAAACCTGTAAAAATATTTACGAAAACTTTTTGCTATTAAAAGGATCAAGAATTCCAAACATTTAGGTAACAACCTTGAAGCAGGACTTCAAAAAAATGTAAAACTTTTTATCTATGTCACTTTTACAATTTGTTAGTCGGCCAAAAAACACATTAAAATTATATTTATAACACAGGGCAGCTGTACTCGAAAATTTCTAAACAAATGACAGCAGCATTGTTTGGCAACTTAGTTTGCCCCCAAACGACTAGAATCCTCCGAGTATCCCTGGCATGTGCATAATTATGCAAATGAATTGGTTGGAAAACGGGCTAGAGGGCTGAGGTAAAGCGGGCGGAAAGTGGGCATACACGTGGCAAACACAGAGAAAACTTTCAGTGCGCTTCGGTTACGGGAAAGTGAAGAGCAGGCAAACAATATACGAAAAAAAAAGAAAGAAAATACAGGAAGCCTTTGCTGGGTGTATCGACATATTTACAAAGGTGCGGCCATATATACGAGGAGGATATCTGTAAGTTTGTAGGTAAAACAATTTAAATAATTAACTTTTTAGGGCCTGCAAAAGAAAGTTTCTCCTGGTTGTTGACCAGGTCAAATTGCGTTTAAAATTTAATTCCCACACACACACAGACACAAGCTCACACACACACACACACACGTACACATTATCATCATTATTTACACAATGTCAGTAAAGGGTTTTATTTTTTTGGTCGGAAAAGGATTAAAAGTTAAGTGAAAGAGAGAAAAGCGAAAAAACTTTTGTGTTTAGAGATAGAAGTTAGAAGCCGGAGGGGAGAAACACTTATTGGGTTTTCATTTTTGTTTTTTTGGGTTGTTAAGAGAAAGAAAGGGTTCTAGCTTTTAGGGGGGTTTGTTAATTTCGGGGTTTTTGGGGGTTACCTGAGCATTTGAGACCCTGGTGGTAAATGCCATACAGCAGGGAACCACAATGATCGCAGAACGTGGGTCCTGCGTATGTGAATGGCTCGAAATTGTGTTGAGTTTTTGGTGAATCCTTTATATTGATTTTTTTGTTTTTTTTTGGTGGTTTTAACAATTTCAATTTCGATTGCGAATATATTTTTGTTTTGTTGGTTTTTTTTTTTATATATTTTTGGTGCGTGGTTTCGTGACAGCGTGAGTTGGACAGCGAATTGAGTTGAGTTTTTATATTTTTGATTTGATTTTGGTGGATGCACACATGGAAAAGAATACAAAGTACAAATTTTGTTCATGATAAATCAACACAGCACAATGACAAATTAACAAGTTCGCGGCAAACTTTCGCTTTTGAAAAACAATAACAAATGACAAACTCTACTTAAGTTTAGTGTAAGTTTGCAACTGCATTTTATCTTAAGAATATCTATTCTTTGCTCTGCATTTTCCATGTGCGTTTTGGGTGGCTGAATTTTAAGTCTGGAAAATGAAAAACAACTACCTCATTTCATAGCTGCTGTCCCATCCTAAAAGCCAATCCATCTGAGACTCTTTTCTCTATATTCCTGCCATATTTTGCTGTCTCCCCCATCAGAATATTTTCCTTTAGACAGTCAGCAGTGCACTTGGAGAAAATTCTTTAAAGTTGGTAAGCAAATAGGTCAAATAAGACGCCAAATAAGGTGGCTTTGAGTTAACCACAAAAACTGTAAGAATTCTCCTTTTAACAAACTAAATTTAAACCTAAAATAAAACTATTAAAAACTATAAATTATTCCTTAAACATTTCTTTGGGTGCTTGCGGTTTGTCTGAATAAACACACAGCGTAGAGAGCTTGCTGTATGCGGAAAAATCCAAATGACATTTTCCATAACCCGACAGGGCAAAAAAAAAAGGAAAACCCCCGGTGGACAGGAGGGGAAAACTCGCATTTTTAGCCCAAGTCTGCTTAGCTGGCAAAGCAAAGTTGACAGGCCAGCCTGGGACATGAGACGAGAGGACATGACAGCTGGGACTTTTTGGGATGGACGAACTTACGGACGGACAGGCGGAAAACGGACGGACAGAGAGCCGGCATAACCGAAAATCCAAATGACAGTTTAATTTGACAGAGCCCACAAAGACTAAAAGCAATGCAAATATGTAGGAGTCCCACAATGCCCACCCAACGCCATAACGCACATGGAACTGCAGTCGGGTGCCGTATCCTGCACACACACATACTACTCTCTCTCTATATATATATATATATATATTTATTCTGTTTAGCATATGTGTTGGTGCGCACTTACCGAATCGATGCCTTTATCCTTGCCCGGACAGATGAAGGTGACATATTCGTGGCATCGCTTGTGCACCACATACGAGCAAACTGCACTCGAAGAAAAGAAGAGTTAATCGCTGATTGTTGGTGTCGTAGGGGGGAAACCCTTACCTTGGCACTGAAATCCTTGCTTTCCAAATCCCCTGCAACAAAGAAAAACAACATCAATTTGCATTCGCAGAGGTATATTTTTACAGCCATTACATCAATTAGCATAAATATTTAATATACCATTAATCAATATGGTAGAGGCAGGGGGAAACCAATCGCTGTGGCCCCTTGGGCCGTTTAAAATTAATCAATATAAATACATGACAGGCAGCTTATACAAGCTGAGCAGTAAAGACTGGCTTAAATGTCAAGCTGTTTGTTTTTTTAAATTATAGTGACTACTGTAAAGGAAATTATGTACCTTACTTTAGTATTTATATACGAAATAATGTTTAATTTTAGCTTATTAAGTTGGGTTTTATAGATTTTATCAACTGATTAAATGGTCATTGAGTTTAGCTTGACTATTTGATGACTTATTTAAATTAAAATATTTATTATGCATTTTTAAAAGTTTAATGCCTTAAATACTTTATAGCCATATACTGATTATTTGGAATTAAAAATGTATAAAAAGCCACAAGTTATGGCTTTGCTTTTCATGATCATGACTGCTACTATATTAAAAAATATGCCCAGCGGAAAGCCACAAACAATTTTTATAAATTAAATCAATAATGTATCAAATATATTAAGTGATTAAATTATATTATTAATTCAAGCTTTAAATTGTTTATCTTCTTTATTAATTTATTGCTTTTTATGGCCTTCTAGCTCTAGTCAACTTAAATAAAAAATCTAAAGAAATTTGTAAACTATTTAAATGCCCGCCTTAAATACTAAGAACGTGACTGAAAGTTTGCCCATTTAAATTGAAAACTTAAAGCCATTTAGGACACCAATCCGGGCTACTGGTTAATGGCCAGAACCTGTTGTAGGTCCAAAAGGCTAAGGCTTACGTGAGCCGCTCCCAGCCCGTGTCCCAAACCTAAACCATAAATGACTTGACCACAGACCGCTTCGCCAACCCCAAACCCTAAGCTGTCCAGACTGCAATTTGGGACAAGGCAAATTATTCACATGCACGATGGGGAAAACGCATATATATATAGTATATAGTATATTGTATATAGTATATATATATAATTTATAGAAGGAGCAATTTGAGGTGGCGAGGAAACTGTTTGGCCAACTTTTGCAACTGCAGTTGAATAAGTTTCAGCACGAAAGGACCAGAAACCCGGTTAAAGTTCGGTCCGTTAAGCCAAAAGCAAAGTTGATCCGATTAGGTCGTAACCACTTGGACAATTCACACAAATCGGGCGATTTGTTATCGCTGCTAACGAGTGCGAAATTGTGGCTCGTTTCATAATTCCGTTTGTTGCCGTTGCTGTTGCAGCCCGCATTTTGCCATTTTTGCGTCGATTTTCCACCATTTTTCCCATTTAATTTTAATTCTTTTGTCTGATGACCAGGTTGTCTGTTTCTGGCTTTTCGCTGTTTTCAGTTTTCTACCCTTGGGTTTTTCCACGTTTTTGTTTGCCCATCAAATGAAGTGAAAAAGCAATTTTCCCGCGCCTGCAGTTATACTATGATTCCAGCTATGCTTTCCCCGCTCCCCCTCCTCTTCTTCTCTCCACACAATTATTTTTTCACGGCATCTGGTTTTTTTTTCGTCTCTTTTTTTGTTGCATTTCAATTTTTAATTAAGCGCATATTTCCCAACATCGCTAAAAAACTGGCACAAAGGCAAAAGGGGTTAAGAATGTTTGCAATTTAAGTTAATTAATCAAAAAAACAGTGAAGTTTGTCCTGGAAAACTAAATTCAAACAGTTTTGGGTTTAATTTGGATAGAATTAGTTCTTTGTTATTACTAGATTGTTTTTTAATTAAGCGGGATTGAGGGTAATTAATTGGTTCCCGTTTGGGTTAGCCAACAAAGTTTGCCTTTTCGGAAGCTTATAGTTTGGGCATTTTAGCATTAAGCTTATAAACTTTGTAGTAACTAATTTAAAATCTCATTTAAATTAGAATTTCCATATGTACTTCTTAATATAATATTATCAATTTCTTTAATCTACCAAAAACCAAATTACATTTCCATGAAAAAGCACTCCCCAAATGTGATTCCCAAATCAGAGGAGGACTTATATTTAATCCCAGCCCCCCTAATAATATCGCCCTTATCATTTGCAAAATGCAAATTGATATGTTTTTCAGGGTATTTGGGGGTTTCTATCTGGAATTTCCATCGTGACCTTTTCAGTTTCCGCGCTATTATGCAAATGACGGGCCCGTAAACATGGCAAATGTTTCACCTGCTACCCGCAAAAGAAGGCGGTTGACACTTTGCTGCCGCTCACCGTTGCCAGTCCACGCCCCATGAACACCACCCCTTCAGAGAGGCTCGGATACGTGCCTGCAACGCCTTTTTGCAACACTGAACGGGGTGTGCGTGTAGCTTGTGCCCCCAAAGTCCCCGCACTATTAATTAAAAGTCGAAACCAAGTGTAACAGTGGCTGGAGTTGTTAATTAGCTGCAGCTCTAACCAAACGACAGGCAGCCCCCCGCTCCTCTTTAGACCCCCCACCCAAAAAAAATACAGGCGTTTATAGCAGTGGGCGTGGCCTTTTAGCCTGTTTGCTGGTATTGCTGTCAAAGCGCGTTAATTACGTGTAATAATGATGCAGTGCCGCAGAAAAGAGCGAGAAACGACTTGACTTTTTTGTCGTTTCAATTTTTTTGGGAACGTTTGGTTCGTAAAATTTTCTTGTTTTTTATTTTTTTTTTGGTCATAGATCGATGATGCTGGCGTCTGGTGGCGCATTTTAAATAGCAATTAATTTAATTATTGCCAAAATGTCTTGGCCGGCAATTAGCTAAAGAGCCCGAAAAAGCGTTGACGAGCTGCGAGTCACAAGACTTAGCTTAATAGATTGGCTTGGTTTTATTTCGTGCCACTTCCACATACAGAGATATATCCATTCATTAGTCGTTGGCTTTAAATTGTCAACGGCAAAGTAAGTAAGTGAGTGACAAAGTGTGTCTTTGTTTATTAAATATGAATTAATATCACTGGAATTGCTCGTCAAAGTGTCTCTGTGGTTGGAGGGCAACTCTGACTATGAATATTAAGTGGCGAATTAATTAATTTGTGTGGGCGACAGACTCCAACTTTCTTGGAAGCCAATTCAATGAGCAGATTTCTACTATGGATTTCGTTTTTTTTTTTTTTTGAAAAATGATTTTCTAGCCTTAGATAGATACTCAAGGATGGGGTTTATTAAGTAGAATATCCTTTGAAATACCTACATCCATGCATATCCCGACTGATAACCGCTGGAAAAACCAAAATTCTGTTCAAAATTCATGTCAAGAAATAAGTTTTGTTTTTTAGTAACTGAGCTGGGGTTTTGAGGAAGGGAAATTTAATGCGCATGAAATTGATTTATAATCCAAGGGGATGCTGGTTGCTGCCAGGCCAGGAAGTGACTACTGGGACTTGGCCAAAAAGTAAACAAGTTACCCCAAATAATTTCAGTGTTCTTTTTTGTTGTGTTATTTTTTGGTTCAGCAGCTCACTCTGTTTGTTTTAGGTTGGTAGGTAGCAACAATGGATTAAGACAGATTTTGGCAGCCTTACCCAAATTAAATATTACACAGGTTAGCTTTTTGTTTTTGCTTTCCTTGGCTTTCTTTAGCTTCAGCAGCTTGAGCTTTGGGACCCGGAAAAACAATAGGTATTTTTTAAGGGGAAGTTACTTGACTCGGTGGTACAGTGATAACAGATAACGAGATTTGTATTTTGAATTTCTTCTTCTTCTTCTTCTTTTATCAAGTTATGATTTTTTTTAACATTTTTTTTAATATTTTGCCTAGAGTGACTTTTAGTGGCCATTAAAGAAGATTTGGTTTTCGCTTGATTTATATTTGCCAACATTTTTTATACAAATTAAAGTTGACCAAGCAAACTTAAATACATTTTTTTAAGAAAAAGAGTTCAATATTTTGTAACATTAAATAAATCTAAATATGGAACTCAACTCAGTTTCCTTTGTCCACCATCAAAACAATGTTAAATAAACAAACTCAATCTCATTAAATCTCTTATTCATACTACCGACCACAAATGTTATTCATGATTTCTATCAAAATTCAGTTTAGTGAGCCCCCACTGTGTTTGTTTTGTTTTTGTTTCAGCTATTTGTTGGTTTTATTTGCTTTAGCCTACTACTATTGTTGCTCTGCTGTTTCGCCTTGTCAATATACATTTATCGATTCCCACCACTGATGTTATGTGGACGCATTGCTGGCCATGCTTGGTAGACCCACAAGTGCCACCAAGGAATGGGTAGGTATATATAATATATAATATACCTATACTATATATATCAATGTATTAGATTGAGAATGTTGGGATGCTAGTGGAGGGGGGAAATAGTATAACGAGCTACTCACCAGATAAAGTCCTTGCAGTGGGAACAGAAGGTTGGTTGCTTGAAGAATCTGGCTATGAAGCAGTGATCCTTGACATTGAAGACGTTCTTCTTCTTCAAGGCTCCTTTACGTAGGCGGGACTTCATTTTGTTCTCGCCCACAGCCTCCCCTTCCGCACCCTGCTGCTGGGGATCCCCGTTGTTATCGCTGCCCTCCGACATTGTTGCTGCTTTTTCCCTCCAAGCGTTGTATTAAATGTTCTTTTTTCTCCTCTTGTTTTGTTTTTTTTTTTCGCTGTTGTTTTTGTTTTTTTTGTTGCCTTTTTTCGCAGCGTTTACAAATCGCAAAGGTTCTTTAACTTGCTCACTTGTTGTTGCCACATTTGGTTGTTGTTGTTGTTGCTTGTTACGTACTTCTTGCTTTTGGCTTTTGTGTTTATTGATTTTCAGTTTCAGTTTTTTTTTTGTTTTTTGTTCTCGGCGTGTTTTTATTAGGCCTTAAATGCCATCTAACGTTAATAAATGGGCGAGAGAGAGAGAGAGGGGGGATGAAAAAGTCGTCAAATAATAATAATAAAACCAAACTGGACTTGAAGAATCTCGCTTTAATTTGCTCTGCCGCGATTTGCATAATTTTATTAATCACTGGCTGCACGTTTGCCGTTTATTTAATTATTTTTCACTCGCGTTCTGCGGCCTCATCGATTTCAATTGATTTTTCTCTCATAACAAGCCCAGCAATTAAAACAAAAACTCAAGCAAATGTCACCGGCGGATGGCTGATGGCGAACGACAACGGACAAACAAGCTCATAATTAGCATTAATTTTAATGCGCCGACGTTTGAATTATACAAAAGAATTCTCGAAGAGGGGGTTCAAGAGGGGCCCTGTTCGCCCTGTCGTTGGTGGATTCCTCATAATAACTTTGCAAAAAAAATTAAAAAAAAAATAATAATATAATATTTTCCCAACTTGTCGAATGAGATATGCAAAAAAAAAAAAAAGACCGCGCGTGCAAATAAAAAAATACGCAAAGTGCAAACGAAATAATTTTTATTTTAATGTTTTGCTTTTGTTTTTCAGCTTTATATTGAAATTTTTGCAACGCCAATTTTTGTGTGCTTCGCTAACAGACACGTTCTTGCTGGCCACTGCTCTCACCTGTGCAGGTGGCTTGCTCTGGTATACGATTTGGTTGTACCCTATATTTAATTTAATTTGTATAAATAATAAGTATTTTTATGAATTTACTAAGCTAGCTGATCTTTTCCCATTTTCTGGTGGATTTTTCTGCTCCTAAAACTCATTTTGTTGAATAAAAGTTTTCGTTTTTAAGTTAAAATTTTTATCAAACTGCTTCTGTTTCTTGAAATTAGTTTAGTTAGTGCTTTCCATAAGCTTATAAATATCCTTAATCTTCTTTTAAATTGAAGAAAAATTGATAAACAAACTCTTAAATTTTTTGTTTATTATTTTATTTATTGTTCCCTGTAAGCAGATGTTAAAAATCAAAATCTTTTTTCTAAAATTTACTCAATATATGATCAGCTTTGGTTAACTTTTTACTTAGAAGTCTAAAAGTCACCATCAAATAAATCACTCATACGTAGCGTTGACTTTGATTTATTGACATTCCTCTACAAGCTGATTAAGCTTAATTTGACAAGTTATAAGTTAAACCTCTTTGTAAATTCAAACTTTTTTAAATTAATTTTAACCTTTCACACTGAACTTCTATACCATAACTTTGAATAAACTCTTTAACCAGTTAGGCCAACTCTTCTGCTACCCTACATAGGCATACAAAATCCACATTGATTGAAGCCACAATCCAAAGAAGAAATCGAAAAAAAACACACACACACAAATCCTCAAAGGACTCAACTGGAGCTCTGTGTAACTGGCACTTCGATTGTGTTTGTGTAGGAAAAGCAACAGTTACTATCATTTCCGAATCACTTGTTTTTGCTGTTTTGTCCGTTGCTTAACGTATGCCCCTCGCTTTTTATGCCACTTTTTATGCTGGTTAATGGTTTTTATAGTTATGACCGTTGCTTCTGTGATTGTCAGGGATTATGGTTATATATTCGAATTCCTTTTGGTTAACAGAGCCTAGTATGGGCTAGTAAATTTTGTAATTTCAAGCACTTGTGCCATCGGCATGTGGCATTTATTTAACTTTGTTTACTTTCTGACCGTTGACTTATTTTGATTGGTCTTATTTAGACTACACTGCACTATACACGCTCGAGTTCTTTCCGGGCGGGGGTGCGCGAAATATTTGAAGAGCAACTGCCTTTGCTGGCGTACCGAAACGTAGTGAGTGTGCGAATATTTTCACACGAGCGGAAAATCCAAGTTTCTTGCCTGTGGTGAATTTCCCAGCTGTTTCGAGTTCTCTCTCTCTCTCTCTCTTTGGGTTACACAAGATGTGTTTTCTCACACGCACTTACACACTCGTTGTTGTTGCTGGAAAATGTAGGGGCGATTTTTCCCCTAGCTTTTCCTTTTTGCCCACTTGGCTCTATGAGTTTTCGTATCGTTTTCCCGGCACGTGCGCTTCGCTCGAGTCACAAACGCGTTCTGGTCAAAGCAGACTGCCTTGTTTTTTCTGGAGCAAAATAAACGTAGCGAGCTTTCGGGCGCTCTGTTAAGCCACTGTTATCAGTACTGTTAGCAAACGTTAATCTCTAATATATATTATGTACGATATATAGATGATTAACATAAGTAAACCCAAAAACGATCCAAAACGTCAGACCCTAGAGCCACGATAACGCTCTTGGCTTTCCGATCGTCAACGCTCTTGGCCGCTAATTGATTCGACTGAACGAAACTTGTTAAATGGCCACCGGCAGGCCGGTTTTTGGCCCCGATTTCGCTGAGGCTGAAGCTGAGGCTGAGACTCGGAGACCCGCATTTGATTGCCGTTAACAAAAGTCAAACAAGAAGTGATTGGATTTGATTTCATTTGAAAATGGAATCCCCTTTGCAGCAGATCGAATTTGGAGATAGGGAAATGATTTTTATTTAACAATGTTAAAGGTTTTGAATCTTTTTTAAGAGACAAAAGACCAAAAATAACCCTTTTCAACAGGCAATTAGTATGCAATTTTAGATGTTAAAATATTCAAAATTAGAAATACTTAAATTTATTTAAAAACAAATGATTTTTTTATAAAAACATTTAATAAAGAGACAGTAAGGCTCAGTAATGAGTAAAATACTTTTGCATGACAAGCTTAATATGTTTTCTATTAGCTTTTAATTCCCAAAATTTTTTTATAATTATCGTTACTTTCGATAAGATAACAAATTGTAATTTTATAAAAATTATTTCCCTTGAAGCTTTGATTGCCTTGACGTACTTATCAAACTAATGACGCTCCTTACGAATGTTTTTTGAGTCATAAAAAATCAAAGATAAGTTTCCAAGCCCCTATACAAAAACTTCCATTTCTAAAGAAAGAAAAAATAATCAAACAAAATTAATCTGAAAAAATGTATTGGGTGCCATTTTTTGGGAAAATTTCTATGGAAATATTTCCTATTCGTGGAATTTTTTTTTCGTTTCTTTGAAGTAACAGCCACTTGTTATTTACAAAAGTTATTTAACTTAATAATTTATGGCTCATATTTTAAGGCTTGTTTATCTTAACTCTGAAGCAATAAGGTTATTTAATTTATTTAACATTTTTATCATTGACTTATTGCGATGAAACTGATTGACCCGCCTTATAAATAAGGCTTTGAATGTTGCAAATCTTGTTTCATTTTTCTTTAGGCATCACTCACTAACATTAAATACTCGTAATTTATCAGAGTAATTTACCACTTCATAATAATTTATTGCTAATTTTCCAAGCGTGTTTATCTTGGCCCCACCAATTTGAGGATAAAAAATATAAATGTGGGCGGATCTCGGCTTACATCTGCCCAACCGCAACCTTCGCAGTGGTTACCTGTTACGTGCCACATGCCCCCGCCATGCTGCCACATCTGATAGCCAAGTGTCACGTTTCGCGGCCTGGAAAAAATCAAAAAAAAAAAAATATATAAAGCTGGGGCGTTGCTACGAAACGAGAGCTAGCTGTTCGACATTTTTGAGGCTAATGCAATAATTATTTATCTCTTAGAGACACGGACAGACCATAAACTATCACAACATTTTCGCTGTTTCGGTTAGTTAGAGCGGTTTGTTTGGCTCTAATAGAAATACCAAATATTTCTCGGCCAGCCAAATAAATAACCCCTCTGCGTACAAGCTTATAGGCCCCCGAAATTGGAGATAAAATATTGTGGTAAAATATTCCCATTGGCAATTGGTTTTTTGAACCGAAAAACACCGACATGTAAATGGCCATGTTGAAAGCCATTGGAATTCGGTTGCATAGATAGATAGACGGTAGATGGCTGATAATGTTGGCGTCATTCGGCCAAGTAGATAGTAATTTATGAATAATTCGCTTTAGATATCACAAACACTGGGCAATAAATTTCAATTGCAAGCAAGGCAATTAAAGCCCATTGAAATGTTCTCTCGCCGGCAAATCATTTTGTAAATTATAGAGTATGTTTAGGGTATGATAGTTGTTTTTAAGCTTTAGTTTTGTTAAATATTCTATGTGTTAAAAGTTATGGGGCATTTTAGAGTCGACTAGTCTCTTGTTTGAACTCATAAATTTTCTTGACACTTTGCTTGAAATGTTTCTGGCTGGAAGTGCAGTTTTTGATGTTCTTACTTTGTAAGTTTTTGTTAATTTATATCAATGAGAATTAGGACAGGAAATACTTTGAAATATCTTTCATTTTTCTAAGTTTCTAATGACTTAGCTGACGTTGAATGACTTAAGGTTCATATATTGAAGGCTTTACAAAAATATTCTGGTGGATAAGAAAAAGCTTAAAAAATAAATGAAAAATATTAAAACTTTAAAAAAAATATTACGCATCCAAAACTTAAGTTTGATTGCTTGGTTTTGTTTATGAAAAATATTTTAAAAAATATTTAAAAGAGATAAAATTGTGTTTAAAAAATATTAATATTTTGTGTAACTTTTAAGTGACTCCCCAAAAACTCAAATTCCTTCAAAACTTCAACATCAAAGGGTATCAAAAAGTGCGAAATTTTCATCTATCTAAACCAATAAATTATATCAACACTTGGCTAATTCCTGGGAATCTATAAAGTGCACTTAGCCCACATCTGAACACTTTTATAAGAGTCTCGTGAACGGTGGCTGCTGGCAACCCAAACCTGCTAAATCATCATTAAATCGATTGGATTCGAATGGTTGCCGAATGGTAATTTCCAATCAGAATCCCATACTTTCACTCGGTTGCTCTGTTTTGGGAGCCCTCAAGGCGCTGCTCTGTCTTCGCATTGCCTGCTTGCTTGGCTGCTTTTCTCGCTTTACCCCTGGCATTTCCCGCCATTGTCGAGAGCTTTGTGCAGCTTTAATTTTCTTTATCAGCGCAAAACTCTGAACATTTTTCGCACGCACACACAAGACACGGGAAAAACGAAAAGTGGCAGTGGAAAAACGACGAAAAAAAAATAAAAAGAAACACAGACAAATTTCAATTAAAAGCGTGGGCGGTGGTACAAAGGGCGTGTCACTCACGCATAATTGACACAAATTGTGGCAATCAAGCAAACAATCAAAATAACAAAGCCAATCTTATCTTTCACATTTCACATTTCACCACCGATGGTGATTAACGATTTGTTTACCCACTAAAATATTTCTCATTTTATGCAAATGTTTATGGGAATTTCGGATTATCTTTTAAACATATTTTGTGTGTGTTTTTATGATTGTTAATTTGTTTTTTTTTTAGATATTTTAAACTAATGCTAATTTACACTTTTTAAAATTTGTTTAATCAAATTTATATAATTTATATCTGTTGTTATAGAAATGCGGAAGAACCAATTGATTTGGATGCCAATTTTATATTCAGAAGTTCCAGCTGCTGTTCCAAGCAATCAAATTTCCAGTGAGAGTTTACATTCGCTTTAATTTGTTTCTCGTTTCCCGATTTCGTTATATATATATTTTTCGGCACTTTTCAATCGGTAGCCCAAAAACCGATGGCCTCTTGCCATTTGCCGTGAAAAAAGAAGAAAAAAAAAACACAATAATAACGCTCCCGGCGACCCGTTCAGTCGAACTTTTGGACGACCGCCTGCGTACTCGTATCTCTCAGATACAATTCGCTTCTGTCTGCCCCACAAAAACGATCGCAGTCGCGTCGCTGCTCTTTTTGCTGTCGTGAAATATTTGCCCAGTTTCACTTAGTTTTTAATCAATCTGCCCCACTGTGCAGCTGGCAGAGATCGGTTTTTGTTTGCCTCTTAATTGATCGCGCTGGCTTGGGGAGGTGGCCAAATGGAAATGCTGATCTGTTTGCTGCACAACGAAAAAATTCACGAAAATTCAACATTAATTGCAATCATTACTTTTAATTACGCCTCGACGACGGATATTAAACGAGCGTTAAAGTTTTTTGCTTATTTAAATAAATTGCCTAACGATTCGTTTTTATAGTTTGTCGGTAATTAAGTTTTAACTGTTGTCACCATTAAGTTGGTTATAATATTTTGTTAATAGAGAAATATTTAATTTTTATTAGCTTGTTAATGAAAATAATATTGTTAGTTTGGCATAAAGGGAAGTTCACTGAAGTGAAAGCATTATGATATTTAAGTTTTTTAGAACCTTTTTTTTTAATAAATTTATTAGTTAATAAAGTTTTATGTTAAATAAATTCATGAAATTTAAGAGCAAATAATTTGATACTAAGGATAGTTTAAGAGGAAAGGAATACAAAACTAATACTTTACTAAATTTAGTCAGATTAGGAATAATTCTGTTAGTTTATATTTTGATATTCTTTTAAATAAAATAAACATATTTTTTTTTAGTAATTTCCCATCTGAAAAAGAGTATTTCCCCATCGACTTGTTCTGAACTGCGTCTCCTTCCGTTTTTGTCTGCCTTTTGCGAGAATTTATTGCATTTTCTTATTACATTCAATTTGGACTGTTGCTGCACTGCTCCCACTGCAGCGCTGGCTCTGGGAACTTGTCCGCCGATCTCTCGAATCCGCGGCTAATTGCGTTCCACCCTCTTTTCTCCCCCGCCTGGATAACAATAAAGCGATTTTAAATGCTTGTTTTCGTATATCTTTTTTTGTTTGGTTGTTTGTGCGTTGTTTTCCTTTCTGTTTTTTTTTTTTTTTTTTTTTTGGTAACCTCGAACAGATGTGAAAATGCAAATGTATCTCTGCATCTGCATATGCCCCTCACTACTGTGCTTGCCCCCTTTTGGCAGAGTGCCAAAATCCATGAAGTAGTTTGGGGCTAAAAAAATCAGCATCGGTTAAAATAACAACCTATCCCAATTCGGCATTCGAACGTCATCATATGGTTATTGTCAAGGTCTTGTGCCTAAAAAAGGAAAAGGGAACTCCGTAACGAAAAACATGCAAATGAAATCTCTTTACTCACTGTATTTTTTATCGCCCTTCGCACATTAATGTTTCGTTTTTTATGGAGTACAGATTGCCCAGTTCGCGTGCAGAGTTATCAGCTAAAAAAGCAGCTTCATGTAAATACACAACAAAAAAAAAGGAAAGAACGTTGGCTATAAATAATTCAATGGAATTCATTCACTGCGTTCCCAATTCGCCTTGGGAAATGTCCGTACATTTTGGTGTGTATCGAATTTTGGGGATCGAGGGAATTGGTTTCATTGAGTTCTTTGATTTTGCTCGTATTTTTCTGGGGCATACTTTTGGGCACGAATGGGAAAAGCCTGTCGCCTTGCCAGCAAGTGGACAGGTAACAAAATATTTACATGGAAATTGCTCACCCAAAAAACTAAATAAACTTTAAAGGCTGTTTAACATACTGACTGTTTGTTTGGGTAACATATTGATGGCATTAATTAAATGGTTCATTTTAAAGTTTGCCTGCCTAGTCAGAGCCATTATTAAAAGATAAAAGAATTTAATGAAAAATGTTTTCACATTTTTTCCGCTTTTTTTTTTCTGTATGTCCAAACTTGTCAGTTGTCAGAAAGTTTGGTGAAACTTTTGGATCCCTGGCACGAGCACGATTTTGTGCTTCTTATTTAATTGGTAGAAAAGGAAGAAAGGAAAATGAATTTAAAATCTTTGAAGGTTATTGTTTGTTTAAGAAGAATATCAACTTAATGGTAATAGATTGCTGTTAGGTAAGTATTTAAGTAAGTAGCTATATTTTATAAGTACAAAAAATACTTTAATATATAAAAATTAAAGCCTTTTACTAACAATATCCCTGCCTTCGATGATGTGTCCTGCTGGAGAAAGTTCAGCCTAGCTCTATTCATGGTTTCCTGGTGAAGTTTGGCATGTGTCCCCTTCATCAATGTGCGTGTCCTCCATCCACATCAATGCCCCCGCCCCTCATCCAATTCGCAGGCATTGGGGCACAAAGAGCAAGCGTTCAGGCCACTTGGCCCGGCCAGAAACTGGCTAGAACAATAAGCTCCCTCATTGGCATGAATGGTTAAAGGGAGGCTGACTGGGAGGTGGGTTGGTTTGAGAGAGGCTGAGGAGCAACAATCGAACTGCGGGCAACCAAAGGCCGCCGCAGCTTTTGTTGCCATGCGGATGACACTTTGGACTGCTGTATATGGCAGGTCCTGGTGCTGCTCTCAGCTGCAAATGCCCAAGAAGACGCTGCTGCTGCTGCCGCTGCTGCTCCTACTGATAATGAGGAATATGCCAAAAGAGAGGGAATAACTCAGTGTAAATGAAAGTTGAGTTGAGTTCCTGGAACAAAGGATAATCAACTGGATGTGGGTCAACTTTGAGCTAGGAACAATGACTGCAAAACATAATTGGAAGTCAGAAAAACCTGAGTGCTTAACAATTAAGACTTTCCAGGAAAACGTCCTTGGTAGGACTTGGGTTCATTCGTTAGATACTAATTAACAGACATCCATCATTATCAACAGGCTTTCATTTAGTCGTCATGATGATTATTTTGTATAAAACACATTAAAAATCATAAGTTTCTGTAATCCCTCAAATAACTTTATATAGTGTCATTCCAAGTTATTAATCTCAGCTTAATCATGGGATTACCTGTTCCTCGCTAATTGACTGTCATCAATCTTAATTCCCAATCGAATGTCCTTTGCCCGATTACGTCTCAATGAGTCAACAATGAGTAGCATTAAGGATAATAACCTCGATGTCTCTGCACTGCAAAAGGACCAAACAGTGACTGCAATAAGTGGGCTCACTTATATGGCAAACACTCGTATACACACACATTCAAAGGCAATCAACAAGCGGATTACAATAAACACACAATAAACATACAATCGATACTTGGGACAATCGATACACTGATTGCACACGCACACACACACGCACATTTCAATCGGCCATTTACATTCTTATTACATTCCATGGTCAATTGAGTGTTGCAAAGTGCTTACGATTTGCCAATTTCGGCATTGGACGACGGATGCCACATCATTAATTATTCGTTGGCCGAAAAACCGAAATGTTTACTGCATATTTACCCTGACAGATTGGTTTTTGGACAGAATGTTTAAGGATTTCGGGATGTTTCCTTTTAAATAGCAATTTGTATGCAAAGTTTTTGCTGCCCCCAAAAAGAGCCAGAGAGATTTGCACAACAAATTAACGCAAAATAATTATCATTTGGCATTGAGCATGGTAAATGCGATGGAATGTTAAAGTGCGACCCATATACGTTTCGTTAAAGGATTTCTAGGCATGTTTATGGTTTCTCGCTTGTCTCTTGGCAGTCGTAAAGGATTCAACACGTGGCAGGAAAGTT